ATGGGCCAACGACAGAATTATTCGCCTCATAAACGAACGAGGATTGTAATGATGTATAACTCGGGTACCCCAGCCCGCCTTATTGCCCTAAAAGAGGGTATATCCCCCGGAAGCGTCTCTGGCATCGCGTCGCGCTACGCGTCACAGATCAGTGCGAAGGATAACCCTCGCTCTGGACGTCCAAAGAAGCTATCAGACCGCGATAAAAGAGCTATCTTTCGATGCATCGCGAATGACCCTTTCATATCAGCCCGTCAGATTGTTATAGACACCGGGATTGACTGCGCACCGGTCACTTTAGTACGATACCTCAAACAAGAGGGCGTCATGCACTTCAAAGCACTCGGACGGCCTAAATTGACCCCAGAAGTGGCTGAAAAGAGGCTCCTCTTCGCGATACGCCATATCAACTTGCCCCTAGGGGCGTGGAAAAGCTGGGTCTTCTCAGATGAGACTTCAATTGCCCAAGGGGAAGGAGAGCGTCAAGCGTGGGTGTTCTGCAAATACGTACGCAATGCGCCAACCTTCCTCACACACCAGCTGATTAAGCCTAGGGGGAGAGACTTCAAGAGGCTAATGTACAGCCTCGGGGCAAGCCTAAGAGGAACACTCAAATGTTCTGGGGCGCTTTTTGCTACCACACGCGCACTTCTCTTATAGCCCTCCCGGGCGACCCGGCGGCAGCTCGTGGAGGCGTTACGGGCCGCGTTATCCAAGTCTGCCTGGAAGAGACCCTCCCAACGATTCTCGAGCCCGGTTATACCTTCATCCAAGATAATGCCCCTGTGCACACGAGCCGTGCGGTACAGAATTGGCTGCGTGACTTCCTTCGAGAAAACGGGGTCGCGCCCGTGGACTGGCCTCCGTACTCACCCGATCTTAATCCCATCGAAAATCTATGGAAATTGCTCAAAGAGCGGATCTGTAAGCAACACCCGATTCTCACATCATTGCCCTGCAATTTCCACACAAAAGAATTGCTTTGCCATGCCGCGATGGAGGTGTGGGAAGAGCTTGAAGTTGATGTGTTGAAAAGCCTTGTTCTGTCGATGCCCCGTAGGCTTCGGGCGGTGATTGACGCGAATGCCTTGTGCCTTGCCTTGAGGAACGTTAGTGCCTTGAGGAACGAAAGGACTTGCCTTGCCTTGAGGAACGAGGAACGAGTGACGAAAGGATTTTCTTGCCCTGCGAGCCACAACCCCCTTGCCTTGAGGAACGACGAAAGGCTCTTGCCTTGAGGAACGAAAGGACTTTATGCCTTGAGGAACGAAAGGACTTTATGCCTTGAGGAACGAAAGGACTTTATGCCCCCGGATTTTTTGTCCCCCCGGATTCGCGCCCCTGATTCGGTCCCCCGTCCGTTGCACTTCGGCTCGCGTCCGCGGTACTACTCGTTGTAGCGGCGACCGCTGCCCCGACGCACGACCCGCCCTCGCCAAAGGGGGGGATGTGCCCGGCCGCGTCCCTGATCTCTTTGGGCTGGATGGGTTGCGGCGAGTGCTGACTTGGCTCTCCCAGCGGATATCTCATCCTCTTTCTACTTGTCGGTCTCCCCCTCCCGTGTTTCCCCCCGGCGCCAGTTGTCCGCTCAACAAGACCCTTCAGAGTCAGCTGCATGCCACCGCTAGGTTGCCTAGGCCGAACGGTCTCGGGGCCATCTCCGGCCACAACGGAAGATCCCCTGACGCCTAGGCCTTCGTTTCGCCTGACCAAGACCCCTGGGGCGGATGGTGCTTGTAGAGCAACCCTTCTCCTCCAACACTGCGCCAACGGACGGCACAAAACCCCCCATGGCCGGCTCAGCACTTACCGGCCCTAATCTGACAGCGTCCGCTTCTATGATTAGAGGCATATCCCGCACGTTTGTCGATGCTGAGCGTCGCGCTCGCCCTCCCTTTGAGGAGGCACCATTGACATGCGTCGTCCTTCTCCGCGGCCGGCCGCCTCGCCGACTTCCTTGGGCAACGCTCTTTGAGCGCCTCTGCCTGCTCTCTTCGTGAGGCCTCGTCGGCCGCGGCGGCCGGCTTGGCCTCAATAGGCCGGAACGTGGGTGCCGCGTTTGCTTGACTTTTGTGGCCCGACGCCCGCTTCGGCCCTTCGTCCATTGCGCTCGATCTCGCCGCCGCAATCCTCCTCGTCGCGGCAGCGGCCGCTGCTGCTGCCCCTGTTTCGCACTCTCCTGCCACCGACCTTACCTCGCGGCTACGATTCTCCCCCATGATGGTGCTGTCTTATCGGCAGGGCTCTGCAAACGAACGATAGATTGGGAAGCCTTCGCCCGGGATATGCCCCGAAATTGTCTCGCTCCCTGGCAATGGCGTTCTGCCGTGTTGGCATTCTTCCTACTAACGGTTATATCCTTCCTTGTTGATATCCCCTTTCTGCATTAGACCTCTCCTCTCGGACCTGCCGGGCTTCCTTTGGAACCTATCGACAGGCCTATCTGCCGACGGCCCTAGTTTTCGGCATCCTATGCCGGTAGCCCTGCCGGACACCTTAATCCGCGTCGCCCTTGGTGCCCGATCAGTACCCAGCTCCGCAACACCACGACGCATCTCTTTGACGTCTGCTTACTTACAGCGGCAAGGCTCCTCGCTCTTCCCGGCGAATCCATACCACTATTGATCTACTATAAGTGCGTTTACGCTCGACTTCTTCCCTACTCCTTTCTTGACGCCGAGAACCCGTCCTTTAGTGCGTGCGACTGGCCTATCGACCTGCGCAGATACACTATGTCTTCCTCTCTACTTCCTACCGATATGCCCGCACCGCACCTTCGAAAGCCGCTCGATAGCCAAAGGGCGCCGGCGGTGAGATGTCTATGATGTCTTTTGTCCAGCCGGACTGTCCTGCTAGATTTTCCCACCAGGACGACCACCGCATTAGGGGTCTTAACGCCGAGGCCATGGCCCGCGTCTTCCTGCCTCCGCCCGCCTGGCTGCTCGCGACGGAATATGCGCCCCTCCGATCGGATGCCGCTGATTCCCGACATCCGTCTTTTTTAGCCTCAACCTCTCCATCTACGGCCAGCCTATTGATCCCTCCGACTGGACCGAAGAGTGGTTTTTCATGCATGCCCGCGTCCACCCCTACGCGCTCGCATGGGAGGTTGAGCAACGCGACGGCCTGGAGTCTGGCACGGGCCGCACCCTTCTCTATACGATGCCCGCCCTTGCCGTCCGCGATCAGGGCTACCAGCCGTAAGCCGTGCCCTGACCCTTCGCGAGTGCCGACGGAACGGTATATGGCTAAGATGGGCCTGAAGCGTTCTCCTAGGCTCTTTGCCTCTATGGGCGACTTCCCCTGCATCCCGCCTATTGTTTCCTTTACCGGCCTTGTCGTCGGCACCGGCCACTCCTCGCTGCGGCGGGACCTACTGCCCGGTCTAGACGCCGCCCAACTTAACTGTTGCGGCTTTGTCCGCCTTTCTACCTATGTCGCTCCTGGGATGCCCAATAAGGTCCCCTTCAAGGGCTTCCACCCGTTCCAGGTCTTCGTTATCTTCCCTATTCACGCTAACCCCTGGGCCGTCTTGTGTAGGAAGATGGCCGAGAGGCAGGACTCTCAATTTCAGCCTAACGTCCCCTTTACCTGCACAGGCAAGGTCGCTGGCCTGCTCCGGCATGACGTTATGCTCTACCCCCCGGGCTCTTACCGGGACAACGTCTTTATCGTCGTCCCAGATTCCTGGACTTTTCTCGACAAGGCCGCCGCCGCCGTCACCACGATGGCACCGCTTCTCTCTACGCCACAGAGGCAACAAGCTTCCTCCGCTTCCGCGGCCTTCCAGGACATGCGCGCTGCCTCTTTGTCTTTGATCACCCCTGGCACCCTCCCGCCCAGTCCTCCACCTTTGGCTTCGGCTTCGCCCTCGACCGGCCACCTTACGCCGCCCGGGAAACGATATTGCCCTGAGCCTGCCGATACGGCGACGAAGCGACCGTGTCTGCTGCATAAGGCCCCGGTGATCTCGTCTTCCCCTAAGCCCGCCTCCTCTGCCACCCAGTCGTTCTCTGTTTCGGCTGCCTCCGCCGCTCATGAGCCGGACAACCCTAAACCGGGTCCTGACCTACGGGACTCTTCCCTCGATTCCATTGTCGCCCATGGCTTGGGCTCGCCGGCCCGTCCCCTTCGAAACCGCCACCTATGCCTTGAGGAACGAGGAACGAGTGACGAAAGGTTCTTAGGGTGCCTTGAGGAACGAGGAACGAGTGACGAAAGGTTCTTAGGGTTCCTCCCCGGGGAGAAAAAAAATTCGCCATGCCTTGAGGAACGAGTGAGGAACGAGGAACGAGTGAGGAACGAGGAACGAGTGAGGAACGAGGAACGAGTGAGGAACGAGGAACGAGTGAGGAACGAGGAACGAGTGACGAAAGGTTCTTAGGGTTCCTCCCCGGGGAGAAAAAAAATTCGCCATCGATTTCCCCCCCGCAAATGCCGCCCTCTGATTCGCTGGCGTTCTCGCTTTTGATTCGTCGGTTGTTCTTTTCTCGCTTTTGATTCGTCGATGTTCTCGCTTTTCATTCGTTAATAAATAAAAATAAATAATGCCCTGCCCCCTTGCTGCCCCTTTTAGTTCCAGCTGCGCAGTTCGCTTCCAACGCCTCCGTAGACCATACGCCGCCGCAGACCACATAGAGGAAGGTGCCCAAGCCGGCCCGGCTTCTAACCCCGCCATAGACCACACGCCTCCACAGACCACCCCCTTCGCCCGTCCTCCTGGCCCTTAACCTACACTCCTTTTACGTCGGAAGTGTGGAAAATGCAGGGCGCCTGCGTTACCTGCGGAGCCAGTCGGCCGCCTCCTGTGTTGTCTGCCTGCTAAGCTCCTCTAGCCGGGCCTGCGCTGCCGTCATCTCCTCAGGCACCCGGTTCCCCACTAGGTCCCGCTCCGCACCTCTGATACGAGCATGATGCCGTCGAGCGTCGGGCACCGCGACAGCTGCACGTATAGGCTATACGGGTCGCACGACGACGGCACCGCCCTCCCTCGACCGTCGTCATCCTCGCCCCCGCAGCTCCAGCGCCACGCGCTCTAGCGTCCCGCCCTGCACCTTATAGTCGGTGCAGGCGAAGGCCGCGGCGCACGGCAGGCCCCTCCGGCTGACGTCGTTGCGCTGCCATGGCCGCTTCCGCTGCGCTGTGATCTTGACGCTGATGGGCGTTAGCAGGATCGTCCCGGCAGGCATCCCGACGAAGTGGAAGTCCTTGGTCGTCTCCGAGGCCAGCACGATGCCCGCCGGCGGCCCGAAGTGCATGATGAGCTCCGCCGAGACGCGGTGGCCGGGAAGGCGCGGTCGGGGATGACGTCCACCGCCGTGTACCCGGCCCCGTTCACAAGCTTCAGCCCCTGGTGCGTGTTCTGGTTCACGACGACCGGCATGCCTGGCACGAAGAGGAAGACGGCCGGCACCGGGGTCGCGCTGTCGTCGCCCTGGCCTAGCATTAGCACCGCCTCCTCTTCCGTCGGCACGCCGTCCCTCCACTTATGCTCGGAGAGGAAGACGCGCGCCGCCGTCCGCCGCCTCTCCCGGAACGCGAGCGCCGCCTCTAGGTTGAGGTTCCAGCGGTTCCGGTTGAGCGGCGTCACCACCGTCAGGCCCGTCTCCCACGGGATCCGCCTGCCCGGCCGGTAGCATCTCGAGTTGAGCAGCTCTAGGTCCGACCGGTCCTGCTCGCCCCGGCGGATCCGCCCGAGCAGCCGCCGCAGCTCCGGGTCGCCGGCGGCCCGCATCTGCTCGTCTAGCATGACGACCGTCGTGAAGCGCCGCCACAGCGCGTGCGCCTTGTCGTGCTGCCGCCGCTGCTCGGCCGCGAACGCCCCGTCCTCGTCCCACGCCACCGCCGCGCTCGGCAGCAGGATCGACCGTTCCTGCACCGGCCGGAACTGGTGGAAGTCGCCGCAGAGGATCACTACCGGGATGCCGCCGAAGTCCCGCGCCGACCCCCCGCAGCCGGCAGAGCTGCTCGTTGGCGGCGTGCAGCGTCCGCGCCCCGAGCATGCTGACCTCGTCGATCACCAGCACCTCCTTCTCCTGCCAGTCCATCCGCGACCGGCCGTCGACGAAGCGCTCGCCCTGGCCCGCCAGCCGTACGCCGTCAATGTCCCCTCGTCGCCCCTCCCGCCCGGCCGCCCTGGCCGACCGTAAGGCCGCAGGCCGAGTGCAGCGTGATGCCGTTGATCCGCGCTGCCGCCGTCCCCGACGTCGCCGTAACCAGTACCCGGCTCGATAGGTCCCTCCGGGCGAGCAGCTCGACGAGCGCCTCGATGACGCGCGACTTGCCGGTGCCGCCCTCGCCGCCGATGAATAGGCAGAGCTGGCCACCACCGTCGCCGCCTGCGTCGTCGCCCTGCCGGATTCGGTCGAGTTGCCGGCACACGATTAGGAGGGCGATGGCCTGCTTCTCGTTGAGCGTGAGCTGGCCCGCCAGCTCCTGCCGGCGGCGACGAACGAGCTCGACGGGCCGAGCCGCACGCGCATCCCCGCCGCCGTGCCTGCGTCTGCGTCGCCGTCGGCCGCCGTTACGTCGATGTCGTCCTCGCCGAAGCCCCCCATCACCCCGCGAAGGGCCGCGCCGCGGTCGGCCCCGACGCCCGCCGCCGCCCCGCCGCCCTGGATGCCCTGGATCGCCCGCTCCCGCTCCCGCGCCGCGCTCCTCTGCTGCGACTTGATGGCCCGCACCTCTTCTTGCCGCGGCAGTGCCGCCCCGACAGCGCCGAGCCCGGTAGGTTCACCCGCCTGCCTGCCCTCTCGTCCGCCACCACCGTCGCCGCGAGCTCGGCCGCCGACCCGAGCGCCGACTGCTGGAACCGGCAGAGCTGCTGCGTCATCGCTAGCAGCTCTGTTGACTGCGCCGTGACTTGTCCCGCGCTGGCGGCGTTCGGGACGACGTCGATGAGCCGAGCCGCGTCGCCCGCCCCGCCGGCGCGGTATGCCTCCTCGCCCCCTTCGGCCGCCCCCCTGCCTTCGTCGTCGGCCTGCGGCGCCGTCATACCGCCCTCCTCGGCCGTGGCGGCCCACTGCTTGGCGTCGCGCTTCGCGTCCTCCGCCGACCGCCGGAGGAGCTGCACGTTGTCTGCGAGCCGCGCGACCCTCGGCGCCAGCGACTCCCGCGCCCGTGCCCAGATGTTGTTAATGTCGCCTGCCTCCTCGCCGAGGAAGGACTCCCACGGCACGAATAGGGCCAGGTGCTGCACCGCCGCCCTAGATGCTGTTAGCCGATGCCCCTAGCTGCTCTGCCTTCCTCTTAGGCGCCCCCCGTCTTATAGTACGCACCTCCGGTGGCACGACTCGTCGTCTTCCTCGCTGAACTCCTTGCTGAGGTATCCGTCGACGCATACAGTCGCCCCGCAACCCGGCCGCCTAAGCGCCTGCACCCAGCCCTTCCCCGACGCCCAGCTCTCCGCGAAGGGTACCTCACCCCAGCCCGCCATACCGTCGGCGCCGCTGCCGTTTTGCTTTAACCTTACAAGCGATGCGTAGTCATAAAGGCAGAGGCCCGCAGGAGCTCGCCCCGGTGCCGGTAGGCCTCGATGAGAGGATCCTCAGGCCAGCCTCCTCGACGACGACCGTCTCGTCCGGCGCGTCGCCCGTCGCCTCGGCGCCGCTCGCCCGTCGGAGGTGCCGCCACCGGCGGAAGACGGCCCAGTAGAGCTGGTTTGCGTTTATATACGCCCACGCTGAGCCGCTGCTAAACTCCGCCGGGTACCCTAGGAGGTGCGCGATCACCTCGACCTGCGACAGCGGCCGCTCCGTAAAGACTCGATTCGCCGCCTTAAGCAGGAACGTTCTCGTCTTATTCCCCCCTACGGGGTCCGCCGCCGTCGCTACCCCTTCGGCCCCGCCCTCCCGGCCGGCGTCGCGGTCGGCGCCACTTCTGTTGCCCTCTCCCGTCGGCTCTAGCACAGGAAGGAACTCGGCCGCGGCGGCCACACGCTTCCACACGGGGTCCTCTACCTTCGTCGCATAGTTAGTAATATAGTAGATTAGGGCCATGGTCTTGCGCTGCGTCGCGATGAACGAGATGTCGTGGTTGTGTCGTAGCCCCACTGCCATCGCCCTGTTCCACCGGTTCACCATGCTATGCGTCCGCCGGATCTCGAGCACCCCGTCCGCCGTCAGCGCCGTCCTCTCCACCAACCTCCACGGCGCCTTAAACCGGCAGAGGTCCCCTTCCGCGCCCCCGCCGAGCGAGTATTTTACGCAGGTCGCGCTATGCGTATGGATCTGCGTCGCGCCCGCGCAGAAGTTGGCCTCCTCGTCGAAGGTGTCCGTGAAGCGCGCGACGTCGTCGAGCCGCGACGACATGTGCGCCGTGGCCGACCGCTCCGCCTGCATGGCACAGTAACCTTCTGCGTCTAGCTCCTGCGGCCTCGGTTCAGCTTAGGCCCCTCAGCCTGCCCCAGATAGGGGGCATCGGGGGGGGGGGTTTGTGTTAAGGCGGCCGCCTTACCTCAGAGAAGACGCTATCTACGTAGCGGACGATGCGCTCCCGGTACGCCGCCTGCTCCTCCGCGTCCGGGCCGGCGAGCGCGTCGCCAATGCCCGCGTTGCCCCAGCCAGAGGAGCCCGTGGATGTGGAGGGCGCCTCGCTCGTTGGTCTCTACCGCCCCGTAGTATGCGCCGACGTGGCCGAACACCGACTCCTCCCCGACGTTGACGTAGTGCTCGAAGAAGAGCGTCATCTCCCGGTGGAAGAAGACGGCCGAGCTCATCGGGTCCGATATGGCCAGCCGCGTCCGCTTATACGCGGTCCCTAGGTCACTTAGGAAGGCCTCGGCCTCGTCGGGGTCGCGGCCGCGGTGCGCCGCTAGCCGTAACTTTACTAGGTTCGTAATGTCGTTCGGGTTCAGCGTGAACCAGATAGCCGGCACCCCGTACCTAACGATGAGGGATAGTATCTTCTTCCGCATACTAAGGCGGCTCTCCCTCGACATTGGCTGCCGGTAGCCGAACACGGAGAGGGACCGGAGGAGCTCTTTTACCCCGTCGTCGCTAGTCTTACCTGTGGCCTCGAGCTCGGCCCTGGCCGCCTCGAGCCTCTGCGCCGTTAACGACTTTAGTAGGCCCTCGACCCTTGCGAAGTTCTTCCTCGCTACGCCTAGCATGCTGGCCTGGCGGTTCTTAGACCGCACGCCCATGTTAAAGACAAGGAAGGCGAAGATAGGGTGCGTCGCGAACCGGCCGCCGTGACGCCGCAGCACGACGTCGGCCCATGCCTGGAGCTTCATGTTCCGCGTCGACATAAGGCCCTCTGCAACCCGCTCCGCCTGGGCGCCCTGGTTCCCGACGCTAGGGCCCGCGCTCTCTCCGCGGCGTCCTCGTCGGCGAGCCTCGGCCCGCCTAAGCCAATGGGAACAGGGTCGGAAAGGCCTTTGCAAAGAAGGAGGCGTCCGCCGAGTCGGCGAAATCCTCGCCGCGTCGCACCTGTATGTACGGCTCGCCGTCGCCGCCGTCGCCCGCCGCCCCTCTGGCCGCCGTCCCTACCCACGTCCTCGGGCTGGCGCGCGCTCCCTCGGGCCCGACCGCGTCGCGGGCGAAGCGAATCTTCTCGGCGTCGGCCACATCTGGCGCCCCATCTAACGGGAACATGCCGGAAGACGTTACCTCATTGATTACGTCCCCGTCCTCTTCGGGCCTAGCGCCGTCCCTGTCGTCGTCCTCGCACGTGAGCCCGACGTCGCGGCTCCCCTCGGCGGGGTCCTGGCCCTGCCTTAGCATCGCGAGGACCTCCTCGATCTCGGCCGCGCCTCCGTCGTCCATGGCCCGCTCCGACGGCGGCACCACCTGCGCCGTCTGCGTCCTCTCCCGCGCCGACGGCTCGTTTCGCTCCAGCCGCTCGCACACCACCGGCGGCACCGTGCGGCGGCGCCCCCAGCTGGCTATCTCCGCCGCGTCGATCTCGACCTCGCCGTAGAGCGGGTTGTTCTCCTTGAGCCAGGCCAGCGCCCTCTCGACCGCCGACCGCCTTACCGACAGCAGGCCTGATAGGTCCCGCGGCCCGGGCCTCTCAGCGCCCTGCCACGAGACGTGGATCTCGTCCATGACCCGGACCAGCGGGTGCGGGAGCACCTTGGCAGCCAGGCCCTGCACGTCGTTCGGGAACACCGTGATATGGCCCTTGACGTGCCTCGGGTACCTCACGCTCTGCCTCTGGCCGCCGGGGATGCTATACTTCGTCACGAAGCCGTAGCACGAGTTGAGCGAGATGAGCTTCTCCTCGACCGGCGTGAGGTCCTTTAGCTCGTCGGGGTACGCGTGCTCGCAGCCGAGCCGCCCATGGAGGTGCATGGCCGGCGACGCCCCCCCTCAGCTCCCCCTTGGCCCGCTTCCGGTAGCATAGCGTGCAGGTCGCGATCGGCAGCGTGCCAGCGTCGTGGAACGCCCGGTAGAACTTCCGCACCGTCCTCACCTGCCTCTCGCGCGGCACCGGCGCACACCACGTCTGCTCGTGAGCCAGCCTCTCGCCCGCCTCGAACTCCTCGTCGAGGTGCCGCAGCGCGCTGGCTAGGTCCTCGGCCTGCAGCTCCCTTGGTCTCGGCACCCTTTCACCGACCCGGGCGCGTTTCCGCTCGGCCTGCCCACTACTAAGATGGCGTTTCCTCTTCTGCTCTTCCCTCGCCTGCCGTCTTATCGCCGATCTACCTGCGTCCGGTTAGCCATCACCGCTACACGCCTTTACCTCGCTCTACGACCGTACCTGCCGAGGCGCTATCTCTGCCGCCAACAAGCAGCCCGGCTGCGGCCGGAGTTGTGGCGGGGATCTCGGCCCTGCTGGCCGGCCGGGACTGGATGGCTCGCGGCGAGTGCTGGCTTCCGATCGAGACTACGGCCGAGCTAGTCCCGCTTGACGGCGGCGAAGGGCCGGCGGCCCTCCAAGTCGGTTGTGGCCGAATATCCCGCGGAACGTCCGAACTTCTCGTCGGCGGCGGCGAGGCCCGGCGGCCTCCACCGTCGGCAGAGGCCGGATTTCCCTCGGTGCGCGCTGGCTTTTCCTGAGGCCGAGACGGCGCTAGGCCCGCCTTGCGGCAGCCGGCGCCCTGCCGCCGTCGGTGTCGACAGAGCCTGGATATCCCGCGGCGCGTCCGAACTTCTCGTCGGCGGCGAAGGGCCGGCGGCCCTCCATGTCGGCTGTGGCCGAATGTCCCGCGGAACGTCCGAACTTCTCGTCGGCGGCGGCGAAGGACCGGCGGCCTCTACTGTCGGCAGAGGCCGGATTTCTCTTGGTGCGCGCTGGCTTTTCCCTGAGGCCGAGACGGCGCTGGGCACGCCTTGCGGCAGCCAGTGCCCTGCCGCCCTCGGTGTCGGCGGCAGCCAAGTTGCCGCCGCGCTTGGTGTCGGCCGAGGCTGGATATCCCGCGGCATGACTCGGCCTGCGCTGATCCTCCACCTCCCTAGTCCTGGCGGTCTTCCCCGCCCTCGCCTCGGAGGCGCCTCCCTTGACGCCTCTTCTTGCTCTCTCCGAGGGGCGCCGCTAGCAAGTGCCGGCGCTGCTGTGGTCGGCTGGAACTCTGGTCCTGTGTACGGCGCTGCGCAGGCTTCTGGCGCCGGGCTTGCCCCGTCCCCCGCTCCGGACTGGTCCCTTCCGTTGGCTGGCTTCATTGCGACACCGGTCTACCAAAGCCCCACGGACGTCTTGTCTTCCTCTTTGCACCTGCCCTCTTTGGCCCTGCCTACTTATGGTGCCACTAGGCCCTGGCGTAAATCCTCGTAAGTGTAATAACAGCGTATAAATCCTTGCCTCGATTATTCGCCCTGCACTTATCTTGCTGACTGGCACCCTCTTGCGCATATAGGATCCTCTACAAAAGTCTATATATCTTACTCGTAGCTCTCTACTATGTCTATATGCGTGCTGCTGCTCTTTGCATTATACCGGCGCCGCCTTTCTATTAAGCCCGCCCGCCATTGCCTGCTGCTATATGCGATAGGCTAGACGGCCTCGGCCGATCCTTATATGTACGTCGCCGCGACGGCTTCTTCTTGCCTATGCTTTGCATGCTACGCTTTTCCTTCTTGTCATCCAGCTCTTATCAGTCAAAGCTTCCGTATGCCCCTAGACACTTGCCCGCTGAAGTTTAAAACCATGTCTTACACGTGTTGCGAATAGGGCTGCCTGCTTCTCCTCAAATATAGCTTCGCGCGTCCTGCTTGTCTTAAAACTCTCAACATCTTACTAGACCGCCTTTTAAAGTTCTCCTTTTCTTATTGCACTCTCCTCTATACGCATCTTATAACCCTCTTTTACAAAGGCTCCTTATATAACCTACCACTAACGCCATGTTGCGTCTTTGTTTAGAATCCTTTGACTTCTCTTACACACCATCGCCACTGGCCCTTCTCTTTTACACTAAACTCGTAAGACGGTATATAGGTAGGGAGCACTCCTGCCTATCTTTCTCGCCGCTTTTAGCTTTGCCCCAGCAACGTTGCTCTTTTACTACACGGCCGAGCCATGTCTTCGTCTCCGTCGGCGGACAGCTCTGCCCCGCACCTCCGCAAGCCCCTTGGCTCTAGCAAGGGCGCGGGCAGCGATATGTCCATGATGTTCTTCGCCCAGCCCGACTGCCCCGCGAGGTTCGCCCACCACGACGAGCACCGCATTAGGGGCCTCAACGCTGAGGCAATCGCCCGCGTCCTCCTGCCGGTGCCCTCGTGGCTGCTCGAGGCCGACTACGCACCCCTCCGGGCCGAGGGCGACGACCTGGGCCCCTCTCTCTTCTTTAGCCTAAACCTCTCTATCTACGGCCAGCCAATCGTCGACACGGACTGGTCCGAGCAATGGTTCTTTATGAGCGGCCGCGTTCACCCCTACGCCCTCGCCTGGGAGGTGGAGCGCCGCGACGGTCTTGAGGCCGGCCCAGACGATACCGTCCTCTACACAGTGCCCGCCCTTATCGTCCGCGACCAAGGCTACCAGCCGTGCGCCCCCTTTTTTTTTGCCCTTCACCGGCCGCCTCGCTGACTTCTCTCCTAGCGTCCTCCCACGCTCCTTGGCCTCTGGCGGCCAGTTCCCGTCTACGCCTCCTGTTGTCTCCTTCCATGGCGTCATCGCCGGGCCTGGCCTTGACCTCCTGCGTGGAGACTTCCTGCCAGGTCTCGGGCCCGACCAGCTCCGCTGCTGCGGCTTCGTCCGGCTCACTACCTACATCACCCCTGGCCTGCCGGACCGGATTCCTTTAAGGGCTACCACCCCTTCCAGGTCTTTGTTATCTTTCCCATCTATGCTAACCCTTGGGCCGTGCTATGCAAGAAAATTGCTGAAAGGCCTAACTCTTCCTTCCTGCCCGGCGTCCCTTTACCTGCACTGGAAAGGTCGTCGGCCTTCTCGACCACCGTCTTATGCTCTGCCCCGGGCTCAGAGCGCGATTACGTCTTTATCGTCGTCCCGGACAGCTGGAACTTTGTCGACAGGCCCTCGGCGGCCGCCTCCGCCTCGGCTTCCCCTTGCTACGCCCCTTAAACGTCAGACCCTATCCGCCTCCTCTACCTTTGATTCCGTCCGCGCCGCCTTGTACTCCGTTGCTGCGCCGGCCTCGGCTGCGTCGGCTCCCCTTCCTTGGCCTCGGCCCCGACCGCCCTCGACCCCGTCACACCACCGCCTAAGCGCTCCCACCCGGCCCTTGCCGATACGCCCATGAAGAGGGCGCGCTTGCTGCAGCAGCAGAATTCGCCGCCTTCCTCGTCTTCGGACACCGTCAGCTCCGCCGCCCCCTCCTCTCCCCCGCCGGCCGCTTCTTCGTCTCGACCGAGCGGCGTCCCGCCCGTTCCCGCTCCGGCAGCCAAGCCGGGTTCCCTTCTTGACTCTATTGTCGCGAGCACCTCCGACCCGCCCGCTCGACCTATCCGCTATCGCATGCAGAAATGAGCTGCCTACTATAAACCTATCGCTCTCTTACGCCTCTTGCCTTTACTAAAATAAACCGTTCTCCCTCTCGAGATGCTATTCCTAACGAAATTTATCGCTGCAAAATTGCCATTACTCTACACATTACAACGTTTATCTCTTTTTTTGAAACAACAACTTTAGCTTGCGACCTATTTCTTACGATAGTGCCTGCCTCTATACGTTCTCTGTGACCTTGTTTATGTCCTGTGCGTTATGCCTTGTCCCTTTTATTTTCCTTCCCTCCCTTTCCCTCCTCTCCCTAGCTCCCTAGCTTGCCTTTGGCTTGCATCCCTTCTTGTGCACCTTCCAGTCCTCTTTTTGGTGTTGCCTGCTGCAGTACGCGACCGCCAGGCATCGGCTGCACCTCTTCGCCCCCACCATCTCTCCACAAACCCGGACCTTCCCTCTGTGCTCTGCAAATCCTGCCCTTGCATTTGCTTTGCGCCTATGCTTTCGTTCGCCTGCCCCGCCTCTGCCATCGTGTCCTGCATTTCCTGCCTCGCCCTAATTTCGCATCCTTCTTTGCCGCAGAACGACGAGACAACCACGAGGACATATGGCCTCTCTGCGTGTAGAAACGATATCGGGCTCTGTAGAATGTCCTTTGCGAGTCCGCCGCAGCTCTCGCAGCGCGCCCCTGCTGCCTTCCGACACACTGCCTCGTGCTCCTGTAGGATTGGCCTTATCCACTGTAGGAACTGTGCGCTGGCTTCGTTGTTTGGCCTCGCTGCCTGCATCACGAGCGTCTTCGGGATGGTATGCATGTACTTAAGCTCCCTGGCCCCGAATTCGCACCAGAACTCAGTAGTTGCTTCTGCTCTTCTCTCCTATTTATGCCTTAGTGCCTCTCTTATACTCCCTTCCTTTCTCTTACCACGCAAATGTTTATCGCCGCTCCACTTGCCTTCTTGCTTTTTTTGTCTCCTCCCCGCTGCGGGTTGGTACCCGAATGGCCGATTTCTTTGCCTACCTTTTTGCACGCTTTAGTTCCTAGCGCTACCGCCTGCTTGCGTTCTTTCTCTCGCCCTGTCTTTGTCTTGTCTTTGTCTTGATTGTCTCTCCAATCTTCAGTCTTCGTTCCTCAAGGCCCTTTGCGCAACCCGTGAGGGGTTGCCTTACCCGTATATGAAGTTTGCCTTGAGGAACGAAAGGCCTCTTCTTATCGCGCGACCACCCAACCCAATTTTTTCCCCCCCCAAACTCCCGTCCTCTGATTGGTCGGGTTCCTCCCTTTTGATTGGTCGGAAAGGAAATTATCATGGTTTGAAAGCTTCCCCGCAACCTCGACTGCTTACCGCTCCTTCCTCCGGCCTCCTTTTTTTCTGATGGAACGGCCCTGTTTCGTCCGCCCTCTCGGCCGCCTATCACTCCTAGCCGGGCCCTTTGCCTTTCTTTTGGGGTGTCTTGGAAGAAGACGTATAGAACTTGCCCCCGCCGAGGTTTTGTGAGAACGGTGGTTCTGCGGCTCGGGCCTAATGAGGAAATAGTTGGGCGTTCTATCTATTTATCCCCCCCCAGTCTCGTCTTGTCCCTCCCCGCGGCCCCGGCCGCTTCCGCTGGGCCTGGATCTTGACGCTGATGGGCGTCAGCAGGATCGTCCCGGACGGCATCCCCACGAAGTGGAAATCCTTGGTCGTCTCCGAGGCCAGCACCATGCCGACCGGCGGCCCGAAGTGCATTGTCAGCTCCGCCGAGACCCGGTGGCCGGGGAAGGCCCGGTCGGGTATGACGTCGACCGCCGTGTACCCGGCCCCGTTCACTAGCTTCAGCCCCTGGTGCGTGTTCTGGTTCACGACGACCGGCATGCCGGGCACGAAGAGGAAGACGGCCGGCACCGGAGTCGCGCTGTCGTCGCCCTGGCCTAGCATCAGCACCGCCTCCTCCTCCGTCGGCGTGCCGTCCCTCCACTTATGCTCGGAGACGAAGATGCGCGCCGCCGTCCGTTGCCGGGCCCGGAACGCGAGGGCCGCCTCTAGGTTGAGGTTCCAGCGATTCCTGTTAAGCGGCGTCACCACCGTCACCCCAGTCTCCCACGGTATCCGCCTGCCCGCCCGGTAGCACCTCGAGTTGAGGAGGTCTAGGTCCGACCGGTCCTGCTCCCCCCGCCGGATCCGCCCGAGCAGCCGCCGTAGCTCCGGGTCGCCGGCGGCGCGCATCTGCTCGTCGAGCATGACGACCGTCGTAAACTTCCTCCATAGCGCGTGCGCCTTATCGTGCTGCCGCCGCTGCTCGGCCGCGAACGCGCCGTCCGCGTCCCACGGCACCGCCGCGCTCGGCAGCAGGATCGACCGCTCCTGCACCGGCCGGAACTGATGGAAGTCGCCGCAGAGGATGACTACCGGGATGCCGCCGAAGTCCCGCGGCGAGCCCGCAGCCGGCAGAGCTGCTCGTTCGCCGCGTGCAGCGTGCGCGCCCCGAGCATGCTGACCTCGTCGATCACCAGCACCTCCTTCTCCTGCCAGTCCATCCGCGACCGGCCGTCGACGAAGCGTTCGCCCTGTCCCGGCAGCCGCACCGTCTACCTCCTCGCCGACCCCCCCGCCTGGCCGCCCTGGCCGACCAAGAGGCCGCAGGCCGAGTGCAGGGTGATGCCGTTGATCCGCGCCGCCGCCGTCCCCGATGTCGCCGTGATTAGTAGCTGGCTCGATAGGTCCTCTGGGCGAACAGCTCGACGAGCGCCTCAATGACGCGCGACTTGCCGGTACCGCCCTCGCCGCCGACGAATAGACAGAGCTGGCCGGCGTCGCCGCTGTCGCCGGCGTCGCCGCCCTGCCGGGCCTGATCGAGCTGGCGGCATATGATGCGGAGGGCGATCGACTGCTTCTCGTTAAGCGTTAGCCGGCCCGCTAGCTCCCTGCCGGCGGCGACAAACGAGCTCGACGGGCCGAGCCGCACACGCATCCCCGCGTCGGCGTCCGCTGCCGTCACCTCGACGTCGTCCTCGCCGAAGCCGCCCATCACCCCGCGTAGCGCCGCACCTCGGTCGGCCCCGGGCGCCGACGCCGCCGCGCCGCCCTGGATTCCTTGGATCGCCCGCTCCCGCTCCCGCGCGGCGCTCCTCTGCTGCGACTTGATGGCTCTTACCTGCTCTTGCCGCGGCAGCGCCGCCCCGGAGAGGTCGACCCGCGAGGATTACCCGCCTCGGCCCCGCCTCGCCCGCCACCACCGTCGCATCGAGCTCGGCCGCCGACGAGAGCGCCGACTGCTGAAACCGGCAGAGCTGCTGCGTCATCGCCAGCAGCTCCGCCGACCGCGCCGTTACCTGGCCCGCGCCGGCGGCGTTCCGGACAACGTCGATGAGCCGCGCCGCGTCGCCTGCGCCGCCGGCGCGGTACACCTGCCCGCCCCCCTCGGCCGCCTCCTCCGCGCCCTCGTTGGCGCGTGCCGCCGCCGCCGGCTCGCCCTCCTCGGTCGTAGCGGCCCATTGCCTGGCGTCGCGCTTGGCGTCCTCCGCCGACCGCCGGAGCAGCTGTACGTTGTCCGCGAGCCGCGCGATCCTCGGCGCCAGCGCCGCCCGCTCCCGCGCCCAGATATCGTTGATGTCGCCCGTCTCCTCGCAGACGAATGCCTCCCACGGCACGAACAGCGCTAGATGCTGCACCGCCGCCCTTTGCACCGTTAGCCGGGCCACGGGCCGCGTCGCCGTCCGACGGTACGCCCTCGGCTTTGCTATACGTACCTCCGATGACATGACTCCTCGTCTTCCTCGCCGAACTCCTTACTGAGGTACCCGTCTAGGCGTACGCTCGCCCCTTACCCGGCCGTCTGAGCACTTGCGCCCAGTCCTTCCCGGAGCCCAGCTCTCGTTAAAGGGTATCTCGCCCCAGGCCGCGCAGCCCTCGGCGCCTCCGCCATTCCGTTTCAGCCTTACGAGCGACGCGTAGTCGTAGAGACAGAGGCCCTGTAGGAGCCCGCCTCTATGCCGGTAGGCCTCGATGAAGGAGATCCTCGGCCCCGCCTCCTCGACGACGACCGTCTCGTCCGGCGCGTCGCTCGCCGTCGCCTCTACCCCGCTCGCCAGTCGGAGGTGCCGCCACTGGCGGAAGACGGCCCAGTAGAGCTGGTTCGTGTTCACGTACGCCCACGCCGCGCCGCTGCAAAACTCCGCGGGATACCCCAGGAGGTCGGCGATCACCTCGACCTGGGATAGCGGGCGCTCCGTGAAGATTCGGTTCGCCGCCTTTAGTAGGAATACCCTCGTCTTGTTCCCCATAGGGTCCGCCGCGGCCTCCTCTCCGGCTCCGTTCCCCCCGCTATCGTTGCGGTCGGCGCTGGGGATACTGCTCTCTGCTGTCGGCTCTAAGGTCGGGAGTAACTCGGCCGCGGCGGCCACCCGCTTCCACGTAGGGTCCTCTACCTTAGTCGCATAGTTGGTGATGTAGTAGATCAGGGCCATGGTCTTGCGCTGCGTCGCGATGAACGAGATGTCGTGGTTGTGCCACAGCCCTACCGCCATCGCCTTGTTCCACCGGTTCACCATGCTATGTGTCCGCCGGATCTCCAGCACGCCGTCCGCCGTGAGCGCCGTCCTCTCTACTAGCCTCCAGGGCGCCTTAAAACGGCAGAGGTCGCCCTTACGACCGGCCCCCGCGAGCGAGTACTTGACGCAGGTCGCGCTATGCGTGTGGACCTGCGTCGCGCCGGCGCAGAAGTTGGCCTCCTCGTCGAACGCGTCCGTAAAGCGCTCGACGTCGTCAAGCCACGACGACATGTGCGCCGTGATCGACCGCTCCGCCTGCACAGCGTGGTGCCCTTCTGCGTCTAGCTCCTACGGCCTAGGGTTAGTTTCGGCCCCTTTAGTCTGCGTTCGACGGAGCCGGAGGCTACGCCTCTGACGTCGTCCGCCTTACCTCGGAGAAGACGCTGTCTACGTAGCGGATTATTCGCTCCCGGTACGCTGCCTGCTCCTCGCCGCCGGCGCCGGCCAGCGCCTCGCCGAGGCGCGCATTGCCCTTTAGCCAGAGAAGCCCGTGGAGGTGGAGAGCACCTCGTTCGTTCGTCTCTACCGCCCCGTAGTACGCCCCGACGTGCCCGAACACCGACTCGTCCCCGACGTCGACGTAATGCTCGAAGAAGAGCTTTATCTCCCGGTGAAAGAAGACGGCCGCGCTCATCGGGTCCGCTATCGCCAGCCGCACCCGCTTATACGCAGTCCCTAGCTCTCTTAGGAAGGCCTCGGCCGCTTCGGGGTCGCGGGCGCGGTACGCCGCCAGCCGTAGCTTTACCGGGTTCGTAATATCGTTCGGGTTTAGCGTGAACCAAATGGCCGGCACCCCGTATCTGACGATGAGAGATAGTATCTTCTTCCGCATACTTAGGCGGCTCTCCCTCGACATCGGCTGCCGGTGGCCAAACACCGATAGGGACCGGAGGAGCTCCTTTACCCCGTCGTCGCCGGTCTTGCCCGTGGCCTCGAGCTCGACCCTCGCCGCCTCGAGCCTCTGCGTCGTTAACGACTTTAGTAGACCCTCGACCTTTGCGAAGTTCTTCCTCGTTACGCCTAGCATACTGGCCTGGCGGTTCCTAGACCGCACCCCATATTAAACACTAGGAAGGCGAAGATGGGATGCGTCGCGAACCGGCCGCCGTGGCGCCGTAGCACGACGTCGGCCCATGCTTGGAGGTTCATGTTCCGGGTCGACGTGAGGCCCTCCGCGACCCGCTCCGCCTCGGCAGCCCGGCCCCGCCACCCGGTAGTCTCGCTTCCACGGGTAGCGGCCTCGTCGGCGAGCCTCGGCCCCCCCACGCCAAAGGGAAATAGCGTCGGGAAGGTCTTGGCGAAGAAGGAGGCGTCCGCCGAGTCGGCGAACTCGTTGCCGCGCCGTACCTGGATATAGGGCTCGTACTTGTCGCCATCGCCGCCGCGCGCCGCCCCTCCGGCCGCCGCCCCCACCCACGTCCTCGGGCCTGCGCGGGCGCGCGCTCCGTCGGGCCCGACGGCGTCGCGGGCGAAGCGAATCTTCTCGGCGTCCGCCACCCCTGGCGGCTCGAGCGGGAACATGCCGGACGACGTCACCTCGTTGATTACTTCCCCGCCCTCTTCGGGCCTAGCGCCGTCCTCTTCGTCGTCGCACGTGGGCCTGACGTCGCGACTCCTCTCCGCGGGATCCCGCCCCTGGCTTAACATGACGAGGATCTCCTCGATCTCGACCGCGCCCTCGTCGTCCATGGCCCGCTCCGTCGGCGGCACCACCTGCGCGGTCCGCGTCCTCTCCCGCGCTGACGGCTCGTTTCGCTCCAGGCGCTCGCATACCACCGACGGCACCCCGTGCGGCGGCGCCCCCCAGCTCTCCATCTCCGCCACGTCGATCTCGACCTCGCCGTAGAGCGGGTTGTTCTCCTTAAGCCAGACGAGCGCCCTCTCGACCGCCCGCCGCCTTACCGACAGGAGGCCCGACAGGTCGCGTGGCCCCGGCTTCTCGGCCCCCTGCCACGAGACATGGATCTCGTCCATAACCCGGACTAGCGGGTGCGGGAGCACCTTGGTCACCAGCCCCTGCACGTCATTCGGGAATACCGTGATATGGCCCTTGACGTGCCTCGGATACCTCACGCTCTGCCTCTGCCCGCCGGGGATGCTATACCTCGTCACGAAGCCGTAGCACGAGTTGAGCGAGATCAGCTTCTCCTCGACCGGCGTGAGGCCCTTGAGCTCGTCGGGGTACGCGTGCTCGCAGCCGAGCCGGCCGTGGAGGTGCATGCCAGGCGAAGCCCTCTCACGCCCGAGGCACCGCGCGCACTCTGCGCATACCGGCACCGCCCGGCCCTCGGGGAAGCAGCTTCGGCACGCGAATAGAGACCGGCCGCCCTCCGTGACGGGGCTCCGCCATGGCCACCTCCCCCACGCCATTTCCCTTAGCTCCTCTCTTGACCGCTTCCGGTAACATACCTTGCAGGTCGAGACCGGTAGCGTGCCGGCGTCGTGGAACGCCCGGTAGAACCTCTGCACCGTTCGCACCTGCCTCGCGCGCGGCACCGGCATGCACCACGTCTGCTCGTCTGCGAGCCTCTCGCCCGCCGCGAACTCCTCCTCGAGGTGCTGCAGTACGCTGGCTAGGTCCTCGGCCTGCAGCTCCCTCCGTCTTGGGGTTTTCTGGCCCACCCGGACCCGGGAGCATTTCCCTTCGGCCTGCCCGCCGGGGGTGCGGCCCTTCCTCTTCCGCTCTCCCCCGGGCTGCCGATTCATTGTCCTGCCTGCGCCCCGTTAGCCGTCTTCATGCGCCTTGGCCTCGCTCTGCGACCGTACCGGCTTGTTGGCTGTCCGTGCTTCCGACGCTCGGTCCCGCCTCGGTGGGGGGCGCCGCGTGGACTCCCGCCCTCAGAACCGGCCGAGCCCGGATGTGCCGCGGCGCCTGCTGGCCTCTAGGCGGGCCGCCCTCGCTCGGCGGCGGTGTGAGACCGGCTGCGATCGGTGTCGGCCGGGGCTGGATACGCCGCAACACCTGCTGCCTTGCGTCGGCTTGGAGTCTCTGCTGCCTCGGTGGTCTTCCCGCCTGCGCTTCGCGCCCTCGTCGACACTCGGCTGCGGCGTGGTGTGGCCGTTCCACCCTATTCCCATGTCCGCTTCGCCCTGCCTAGGCTGGGCGATGTCGCCGCCGTTGGCAGTCGCACCTATCGGTCTCCAAGCGTCCCCGCCCGGACCGTCCTCGACCGGCGTCTCCAAGGCGCCACGCGGTCCGTGGGCTTCCTGCGCCGGGCTCGCGCCCCCCCCTGCTCCGCGCGGTCCCCCTCCAGCAGCTGACTCCATCGCGATACTGGCTGCCACTACCTTTATAAACCTCTCATCTACCTCGTGCTGCTATGCCCCTGACGTGGAGCCTCGTGAGTCGGACGTCGACGTATACGTCCTTTCCTGGGCTGCTCGTCTTGCGCTTATGTTGCTACTCGGCATGCAGCTTATGCGTAACGGACACTTTACATTTACAATGACCTATGTACTCTATATAGAGCTCCGTAGTACGTCTATAAGCATGCTGCTGCTCTTCACATTATACCGGCGCCGACTTTCCATTAAGCCTACCGGGAACTGCCTGCTGCTATCGCATGCAACGGCCTAGGCCGGTCTTTACATGTAAGTCGCTACGGCACCTTCCTCTTACTCGTGCTTTACATTCTACGCTCTCCTTGTTATCTGGAGCTATGTCGCTAAGCGCCTTGGTTCGAGGTTAGATGCTTGCATACTGGCTTTTAACCCCATGTCTTAAACGTGTCGCCAATGAAGCTGCCCTATTCTGTGACAATATGGCTTCCCGTATGTCGGTTGTCTTAAAAAACCCCTCTATCCCTAAGCAGACCGCCTTTTTGCCCTTTTCCCCTCGCTTCTCATAGCATTCTCTAGACAACGCTCTTTCCATGTTCTCCTAACCGCTAAAAATTTTCCCGTGTTTCCGTTAATATCTATGCTCGTGTTCTGTAAGGCGGCCCTGGCCCTTCACTTCCCCGCCGGTTTCTTCCAACGATACAAAAATAGGAAGAGTTCCTGCTCCTATTCTGCCCCGCTTAAACGATTCAAAACGGCAGCGTCGCTCTTACGCTATACAACCTCGCCATGTCTTCGTCCCCGTCTTCGGCCGCCTCTCCGCCGCATCTGAAGAGGCCCCTTAGTACTGGCAAGAGCGTCGACGGTGACATGTCTATGATGTTCTTCGCCCAGCCCGACTGCCCCTCGAGGTTCGCCCACTAAGACGAGCACCGCATCAAGAACCTTAACGCCGAAGGCTATCGCCCGTGTCTTCCTGCCCGTCCCCTCGTAGCTGCTCCCGGCCGAGTACGCGCCCCTCCGCGCGGAGCCGGATGCCGCCGACCCGGCTGTCTCTCTCTTCTTTAGCCTAGGTAAACCTCTCGATTTACGGCCAGCCGGTCGTCGACCCCGACCGGTCCGAGCATCGGTTCTTCGTTAACAGCCACGTCCACTCCCATGCCCTCCCCTTGGGGGTTCGAGTGCCGCGACGGTCTCCACGCCGGCCCGGGCGATACCGTCGTCTACAATTCCACGCTCGTCGTCCGCGACCACGGCTACCATCCATGCCCCCGCCCTGTATGCGTCTCCTCCCCTGCCGCGTCGCTGACTTCTCCTTGTGGCGTCCTCCCGCGCTCCTTGGCCTCCCGACGGCCACTTCCCCTCGGCCCCTCCCGTCGTCTCCTTCCACGGCGTCGTCGCCGGCGCCGGCCTCTCCCTCTTGCGACGGGACCTCCAGCCCGGTCTCGACGCCGTCCGTCTCCGCTGCCGGCCGGGTAGTCGACCGTGTCTTCGTTCCTCAAGGCTTTTGTGCGCAACCCAGGGGGTTGCCTTACCTCGTCGCCATTCATTCACAATTTGTATGAATGAATTGAATGAAGACTCCAGATTTTCTATTCGTCGAATTTGAAGACCTTACCCGATTCGGCTTCATTCAATTCAAGGGTCCTGAGGCCGATTCGACTTCAAAATCTTCAAATATCAGCCCTACCTCTTTTTAACCTAAACCTAAACTCCTTCACAGTCCGCGTGCGGGCAACAGCAAGTATCCCGGAGATCGTGCATGAGGGCGGCTCCGTCGCTCAAACGGGCGTAGGGATTAAGGCCGCTCAGCTCCACGGAGCCGCTGGTCACGCCGAAAAAAGCCCGTCGGATGGCAATGCCCTCGGCAGACGGTAGCAGATATGTCTGCCTGACCGCCTGATCCACATCGATGAACAGCCGTTCGTCAGTTCCCTCAGCACAGTCCGCCGAACCATGGTCGGGCCCGACAACAACATGTCGCCAAATACGGTCGACCAGACGGCTCAGCGTATGTGTCGTCGAATGAGGTACAGACCTGCCCGTCGATACACCTGCCAAGACAGTTTCAAATAGGTAACACCATTTTGCAGATAATGCCCGGAGGCTCTCTTGACTGACGAATGTGTCACAATCTGTCAGGACTGAACTGGCAACGGTAATGGAGCGGTGCATGACCTCCTGTCCCGCGCCATCAACCAGGCTTCTTCTTACGATCCTACGGGAGAGCCCATAGACCAAGCCTTGTTGATGGATATCGCGGCTCCGTGTATTGGTCCCTTCCCAGAGGGGTTGCCATGTCGTTGCATGCAGAGTATTCCCTGGTTTGAGGGAGATGTCCGCAACAGCCCTCAACCGTGTGCCTGGAGCAGGCCATGTGTAAGCTTCCCGCACCACGTCCACTGCGGCTGCGTAGCGTTGCAACTGCCTTCGTGCCATGTTTCGCGGTGCCAGCAAGTACCATAGACAGCAGCCCATAGCCAGTTCTGCAGCCTCGTCATGACCGTCAGCACCACAGGGGCACGCGAGCGTATCATCGGGAACTCTGGCAACAGCGTTTGCATAGCCACGGGCACCATTGCTGCCGCCCACCGCAATAGCCACGAGTAGCTCGTTGAAGCACTCACGATTGGTGTAGTCGGATACTATGTCAGCGATCTCGTTGTATCGAATTATGCTGTCGACTGCGCGTTTGATATTTCCACATGTATCGGCGATGCTGAACGTGCCGAGGTTGTCTGTCAGGTGCTTGTAGTGGCTGGTGCCCATGACGAGGCGGTGGTAAGGCACCATGGCGGCGTCCCACCAACGCGCGCGAAGGAACTCAATTGGGGTCACCCCACCGCCCCCCAGTCGGATGAATTCGTCGGTATTGGATATATCTCTGGCAGCTTCCGTCATCTCATCCTTGGCCACCATGAAGGAGTCTGCTATCACCATATCTCTCAGGGCTTGAGTTGCCGCCTTCCCGGCGAGACATGCGACTCCTTCGCTTGCTGCAGCCATGTAGGCATCGTGGCCGCCGCCGATGGGGTCGTCTCCGGCCCCGACGTAATCGATGGCAGTCGTCATGCACAATGCAGAACCACATAAGTCAAGAAGGCGCCCGTCGGTGCACCGGATGAACTGCCAGGCATATATGCTTGCAAAAAAGTCGCGCAATACCATAGGCACAGCAGAGTCTTGTACCTTCTCCTGACGCCGACGATATTCTCTAATCAGCAGAACGGCTTCACCTCCTTTCTTTGGGGCAATCGCTGCCACAACGGCCAATCCCCGCTCAACTTCACTCCCACGCCCAGGCCAAAGGCCCTCTCGCAGGGAAGCTGCTGTTATTAGTGCGGTAGCAGCCAGCGGACTCGCTTTCACACTTGAAGTGACCTCTTGGCAGAATACCAAGTCAAAAGCCTGGCGGCACATATCGTCGCCCGATCGGCAGCGTTTTACTTCAAAGGATTTGTAAGGCACGTATGATGGCTCTTGTTGCAGGTATGTGGCGGCGTTACCAGACACCCTTTGGCAGGAGCTGGAATATTTTGGATGTCCGACATTCTCGTCTGGGGCGTCCTCGGATCCCATCCAAAGTCCCGTCAGCCGACTGAGACTACGCTCATCTGTGAGTCCACAAGCACTGGCGTCCCACACGTTCGTCATGTGCAGTCCGCTCGTTCGAGCGACGCGTACTTGGTCGGAGTCGGTTTTAACGGATTCCTGCGGTGAGGCCATGAAAGCGGTTCCTAAGCCAAACAGCATCATTGTGTGCGTGAATGTCGTGCCAACCTTTTCACAATAGCTTGAGGTACTTCAGTGTTTCTGTAACAAGGCAGGCATGGGCGGCCATTGGGCGCCGCTCGTCTTTACTTATAGGTTCCCCAGGGGATAGCGTGCAGAGAATCTCACGGATCGGGGTGAATATTTCCCTATTAAGAACAGCATATACAATCCCCTGTTCTCAGCTAGATAAAAGCGGTATACTCGGGGTTCCGGAGAGGGGGGGCTAAGTCCCTTAGTCAACCCCCCGAGTAAGTCTTTGTCCTGCTGACAGAAAGAAATGTAAGGTAACGTTACCATATTGTGCCAGCGCACAAATGTGACGGAATGCCTTTGTGTAGTCGCCAGCGATACCTCGCAGCAAAGCCCTCAGTAAATGTCTCCCAGAACGACTCGAGGAAGTCTAGCCGTGTAAAGTGAAGTTCGCCAGTATTGACGAAGCGACGAAGAGCTTTCTGCTGGGTGTGCTTAAGGGGTTGGAAGACGCCGACGTCAAGGGGTTGGAGGAGGTGCGTTGAGTGTGGAGGGAACACAGCTATGAGGATATCGAATTTGATGCAATATTGTATGAAGTCGAGGCTTGTGTGGCCCGTGAAACCGTCGATGACGAGAAGACAATAGATTCGCTCGCTTTCTGGGATGACTCGCGGCTCGGCCTCACCTCCCTGCACTTCATACCACTGGTCAACGCCAAACCACTCTATAGGCGTCTTTCCGCTGCGTTGAGCGCGGGCAGAGTGCTTCCAAGACCATACGTTAAACTGATGGACCCAGTCTAGCGTTATCTCGGCGTTGCTAAAGCCCGTGTCAGAGCGGGCGAACCGAACGTCGGCAGGAGCATCAACCGCGGCCCAAGACTCGCTAGGGAACGTGTGGAATATAAGCCATGGAGGTATCGTGTCACCAGTAGCGTTGGCAGCAGCAATAAGCGTACAGAACTCGCGATTCCCAGGATCAGAGACCTCAGGGCGTTGATGGCGCGTTGTTCGTACGACGATAACGTGGACTCGATCGCGGAGGCTTCCAATACGGATACCGCACTCGTCTTCGTTCCATACCTCTGACGGCCCGATGCTATAGGTGGTGATGATCTCAGAGAGCCTCTTGAAGAAGTTCTCGACGTGGCAAACGTCGCTAGCCTCGAACGTTTTTCGTGACCGCTCTACCGCCTTAAGGTATGTGACCCGAAGCTCTGGGTGATCCTTAAGCCAGCGAGAATACCAGTGGTTTGACGGCGGCTGGCGGTAAGGATCACGGCGGTAGATGAACTTAAGGGCGGCAGCTTCAATCTGGTGCTTGCTTGCTGGGAAGCCGCTTTTCTGGAGCCAGAGAACATATGCGACGAGAGCGTCGTCTTCGTCGTCTGATAGTAGCCTCGGTCGACCGTTACGGCCAATATCGCCACCCCCACGATGCCTCGTAACGGCAGCCTGGACTGTTGATTTAGGCACGTCGAACATACGCGCTGCCTCACGTATAGATACGGGCTTCGGGGGCGGCCCGCGGGTCTGGCGGCGCCGCCCTTCCTCGAGGTCATCGTGAGACTCAATAACTAGCCTCGCCGCCTGGTCTGCGGCAGCTAGGCTAGCCATGGCATATTTGCGTCGTTGCGACATCGTTGCGACAGTGGAACCCTCTCTGACCACTAGGCGGGATGGCATTTAGGTAGGAATGCACACCAAATACGCGCCTGCCGTGGTAGTAAGGGCGTGTTCAGCCGTCCACGGGGCGGCTTTACGCGACACTTAAACGCCGCGCTATGACGCATAACGCGCGTTATTTCGTGTCTTTAGACGCTTCAATTTATTGCTTTAATCTGCCATACACGCTGGGTATCATAAAATGCGTTTAGACGCCTGTGGAATAGGTGCAGGCATATTTGGCTGCGTAGCACACCAAAATTAGTGTCCAGCGGTTTTGGCCCTGTCCAGAGGTTTTGGCGCCAACTTAGGGGTAGGGGCCCCAAGTTGGCTTACGGAGGTACGAAGGAACATGCCAACGGGTAAGCATGGTAACGTCGCTGCCCGCGACACGCACGTGATCGGTCGCGTGAATGATTTTTTTGTTTACCTCTCCCTTTCTTTCGCTTTACAGACAATTAGCAGAGCTCTACCCGACACCAGAATGACTCTTACGAAGCAACAAATCAAGGCTATCTCAGACCGCCCGTTTAACGATACACTTAATCACATTCGAGACAAGCTACGCAACTTCAATGAGTCCGACGACCTGCGGCAAGAAGATATTGCAAGCCTCTTGGGCGCTTTGGTCGCCTCTCCAGCCGCGTTCACCCTTCCGTCCCCAGACGGAAGCGGCAGCGTGGCAGTCAGGCTGCTCTCCATATTACAGCATGTTCGAGGAGACGGAGTAAAATCTGACCTATTCCGCCCTCTCGTTCGTCGCGTCATCGCCAGAGCTCCCGACATCGACACTTGGGAAGCTGTTTTCAATGTCATCGAATCTCTCAGCGCCCTCACTCCCCCGTCGAGCATCGCCCCAACCTACAAGGGAACACCCGTCAAGACCAGCTCGAGCCGACTTTCCGATAGCGAAACACGCGACATTGTCGAAGGGGAGCTCTTCTTCGAGATAAAAGATTGCACCTTTCGCAATGTGGGCGGATTCTGCGACAAGTTCTTTGACTCCAAGAGCTGGCGCAAAGAACAGAAAAATATGCTGAAGAGGATGATGGCAGCGCACGACGGAAAGGAATGGACGGACTTCCCGTCCAATCCCGACGAAAACCCGGTCTGGGCATGGCTCTGTGCGCTTGAAGAACGCTTCTTGATTGATGCACCACACAAATTGTACACCACACGAACCGCCAACCAGTTCAAGGAACGGAAAGGCCAGATGGACCTTTTCTTTCAGATGCCAGACAGGGAAGCTAACAGCACCTTTACCTACAAGGACGTCCTTGTCGTTGGAGAGCAAAAGAAGTCATACGATACAAGCAGGTTCAAGGCGGATATCCTCCAACTTACGCGCTATGTGCGAGGTGTCTTCGCCGACCAGCCGACTCGCCGATTTGTCCACGCGTTCTCCCTCTGCTCTTCAAAGATGGAGCTCTGGGTCTTCGATCGGTCTGGGCCGTATAGCTCGGGGTCATTCGATATTCACGACGAGCCGGACAAGTTCGCGCGAGCTCTTGTTGGATACGCTACGATGAGTGACGATGCGATGGGCCTGGATACGTTCATCGAACGAGAGGAGGGCCATCGCTATGCCACTCTGGAGGACGCAAGCAGCAACGAAACAAGAGTCAGGTTGGAGGAGCTGATAGTCAGGCAGTGCGCTATCGTGTGTCGTGGAACTACGTGCTATAAGACCCGAAATAGCCAGGTCGCGAAGTTCTCGTGGGTATCGGATAAGCGGAAGCTAGAGGTGGAGCAACTGAAGCTAGCGGAAGAACGGGGCGTCAAAGGAGTGGCCAGAATGGTGGCACATCGTCGAATCACCACCATTGGAGAGATGCGGGAGGGTCTGGAATTTCCGAAGCATCACCGGTTCCGGGATGAGGCCGTTCACTTTGAAGATCCGCCGTCGGCCGCAGGAACGTCGGGCCACAAACGCAACTCATCGTCCGATAACACGTCTGACAACATGTCTGGATCCAAGAGGCGGCGGTCCAACAGTCAGAAGTCGAAGTTGGCCACGGAGTTCAACGACCAGCTGTCGATCGGCAAGGCTAAGCCGAGCCTGTACAACCCTGGCGAGGACCTGTGGGAGAGCAGGATATATTCCTGTCTTGTCGTCTCACCAGCCGGCCGTGTCATCGGCGACTTCAAGACGATCAAGGAACTGCTGCAGTCGATGCGAGATGCAATCAGGGCGCACCAGTCTCTCTATGTGACTGGCAAGATTCTCCACCGCGACATCTCTTCAAATAACATCATAATTACGAAACCTGAGATGGCGGATGGCTTCAAGGGCATGCTCATCGACCTTGACCTGGCCAAAGTGAGAGACAGTGGCCCGAGCGGAGCGCGGCACCAAACCGGCACGATGCAGTTTATGGCAGTGGAGGTGCTGCGCAAGGCCGATCACACCTACCGCCATGATCTCGAGTCGTTCTTCTACGTTTTGCTTTGGATGTGTGCGCGCGAATCATGGACCAAGAAAAATTTTAGCCGCGGGGAGGAGCCGCCTAAGGAGAGCCTTCTTCGGAAATGGGAGATCGGAAGCTTCAAAGACATTGCTCGGATCAAAGCAGGTGACATGGCCATGGATGGGCTTGAAGGGATAATGAGCGAATTTCCAGAGGCGTTGGATGTTGTTAAGCCGCTCTGTCTCAGGATCAGGTCGATAATGTTTGGAGACATAGCGAGGTTGAGTTTTGGAACACCTGCAGGAGACCCAGACCAACTTTACAGGCCCATTATAGCCGCCTATGATGAGGCTGTAGGTAAGCTGAATTGAGATGTTTGAGATACGGGCGCTACAGTAGCGTCCCTGAGGGTTATCGGCTGAGGGTTAAAACTAATGACCTCCAAGCGAATGGAGAGAATCAGGTCGTCCGGATGCAGTGGCATGTACCGCATGCCGCCTGCCGTTGGATTTTGCCGCTGAAAGTTCAGCTCCCTGTACGACGCCCATGCGAGACATTTCGCGGCAGAGACATGCTCTTATCCTTCTCTTTGTCGCAAACTGTCACGAAAAATCAAGGTGACAAGCTCAATTGAACATCAAATCTCACAAGCAACGCTCCAATCGACTACCACCCTTTGAACAAGGGATCGCGTTGCGCCTTGTCATAACCTCGGCTATTCTTTGGGCCGCAAACAGCCGGAGTGGTGCCTAAACTCGACTTATCGCGGGATTGCTATCACATGCTCCCCCACTTCTCGTTTATCTCCAACAAGAGAGCCAGCAATCACCTCGCTTTCGTAAAGCTCAAGACACTTCGGGCCAATGTGCTCGTGTTGACAACCAAGTCGGGCAGATCAGTCCGCCTCGCTCCATACTCGAGCGAAACGCAGGCGGCCATATCACACATGCAGCCGGTGATTACCTGCTGAACTCCGTTGTAATGCCCGAGGTACGATTAGTCGTTGAGTGTCGCTTGGCAGTTGTTAATATCATGGCAGGCCGAGCAAACGGTTAATGGTGCCTACGAAATCATCGCATATTATTACTTCCCGCCGGTAGACTATCCAAGGATCATGTACTGGCGTGCTGGTGGCAGCAGCATCGCTGTAGGTCCCCCAGACGGTGTTGTACCTGAAAAGACGGCCACAGAGAATTCCAAGGGCAGGGATCTTCAAAGCGGAATGGGTGTATATGTCATAGACACGGAATTTAAGTTGATACGGGCTTCAAGTTAGTAGTATAGTGCATCGAAAAGTGGCTTTCCAACTTCAAAGCCAACATATAACAAGACGACATAGTCCTCCCCGTCGCGGAGGATCGTCATAGCGTCCGTGCAAGTAGACTTTCCCGTCGCCTTTTCTTGCTGCCTTAAGAGGCTAGACTTCACGCCACCGAACAATACATCCCCCAACATGTCAACCAATTCATCAAATGGTCCAGTCCGAGTAGCCGAAATGTGCCTGCCAACTTCGGCACAAACCCATATCTGCAACACGAAATCTGCTCCACCCCATGGAGCCATCCGTAAATTCACCGCCGCCGTGTGCTGCAGCATGTTCTCGGCCTTCTCGCGACTCCTTTTGTCGCTCCGGTTCAACCCTACGAAAAGATAGTTCTGAACAACAGATTTTGCCCCACTCACAGTTGCTAGCACTCTCACCTTGTTCCCGTAAGCCACAAGCGGCGGCTCATGCGGTCCACCGCTGGCTGATGAAATAAGCGGGCGAGAGATGGATTGTACGACGGCAGAAGTCTGCAGTTTACTTCCATAGAGATGAACAAAAACCTCTTGGTCCAGTCAGCATAGCCAACGACACGGATGGTTGACTTACCAGAAAGGTACAAATGCCCTAGCCTTGAGTCCTCTTTGGCGACGTCGTCATGATAATCTTGCCAAAACTTGGGGAGTTGGAATTCTTGAGTCATCTCCCGAACGCTATCTGGGATTCCGTTGTTGTCGAGAGACTTCAGGAGTCCCATGGACAGAAAACGGACGAGAACTGTGAACCCGACCACATCGACAGATTGGGTACTGAGACCAGAGGTTCCGGAGCCATCAGTATAGCGAATCCGTGCCGTTGCGATGGCGTTTTTTGAGGCAAAGCGGTACCGAAAGCCAGCGCCTTTATCACGTGAATTTTGTAGCATGAAAGTGACGTCGCTTTGCAGTTTGTCCAACAACGCCCCTGCCTTTCTCTTCACGCCCTTCGCGACTGATGATATCTCAGTACCCATAAGTTCGTGCAGGGTCGTTTTGCGATTGGTTGACAACTCAAGTCTTTGTGCATGAGGTTGAGGGATGAAAGACGTTAAGGAGTGCAAGTGATTGCAAAAGTACTAGTCGTGCAATTGCGAGCGATTATTGCAAGTGGTTGCAGAGTGCGAGCGGTTGCGGTATTTATGTGTCTTCATATGCATGTGTAACCCTGCCAGATAAGGTATATGACCAGGGGTCGGCGGGGCGCTCAAACCAGCAATATAGCACGAATCTGAAAGAGTGTTCCCCCGTTCCCTTCCCTCCTGCAGCACCTGCCCGATGAGGAATTACTAGCAGTCTTCAAGGACCTGTGCACCGTCGACCTGCAGCGCGATTTTCGTTATCGAACGGAATGGTATCATGCGTCAGCCCCCAACGTGAGAACGCCGAACAGGTTCATCCGCTCCCCGTCTTCGGTGCAATGGTCAACCCTCGTTCAAGTAGAATGCAAGCCGCTATGGAGTGCAAACCGTTGCAGAATGCAAGCCGTTGCAGAGTGCAAGCCGTTGCAGAGTGCAAGCCGTTGCAGAATGCAAGCCAGTGCAGAATGCAAGCCAGTGCAGAATGCAAGCCAGTGCAGAATGTAAGCTAGTGCAGAGTGCTACCCTTGAAGCCATTGGCTCCGCAGCCCTCTGGACGCCAGCTTAGTGTATGGCAGGTAACCTTATTGCTCAGGGAGGATCTCGACCACTTAAAGCCCAAAGCTAATCAGTACATGAGTTGCCAGCTGTCTTGTGTGATATGAATTGTACCGCCATCCCCGTCCCCTACATCAGAGTACATTGCCCGCGTAACATTTTACACTGCTTTCTAAGCCGATAGAGGTGATAGAAAGCAGGGGGCAGCTTAAGACCTTTGAAGGGATGTACGAAATGCGCAAGCCATCGTTTCTCATGATGCAGGTGGGGGTAGGCTGAACTTCCTTAGAGATACAGAGCAAGTGCGCAGCACTTCTGTCAACCTACCAATGGGCGCCTTAATCCATGGTTGGTGGCTTGTCCGAACCGAATCGGTGTGGGAGCTTGCAGTAGTCTCTCCGCGGCAGCGCGTAACTAGTCTTGACTGATCAATCTAGTACCGGGCTGCCGCTCTGCATGTGCGCCGCAGGTGACACGGCCAAACGACGTAGCATTACTAGCATAGTTCTGCGACAGCTTCTTGTCGAAGTCATAGCTCTTCTTCACAACTTAGGTGTAGAAAAGGTGCTGGCAGCCATGGGGCTGGATTTCTGACATATAAGGCATTGAATGGCGCATACATGGACAAATTCATCACCATCACGAGTCTTCCGCGACCCAAAAAGGCACTGTCAAACTACCGGCAGAAATAAAAGATGGCATCACATATTGCCACACAAGGCTCGATTAGGTGCGGCCACCTCAACGAGGTTGATCAGAAGAAATGCACCCATCACCAGCCGTGCCGACTTGGAGTCCAACCCTTTCAGATCATCACCGAAACGTGCAAGACGTGCGTGCAGGACAAAGGACTCCGCGAAAATTTCCACAACCTCAAAGATGAACTATCTTTACTCCGCTACTGGTACTGCCGAAGGCTCAGTGAAGATAGAAACTTTTGGGGGCCTTTCAGGTTGGGTGCGGGAGTGCGCATCCCTGTTCCGAAGAGCATCAGCGCCGAGATGGAAAGAAGTATGCGCGGAATATGGCAGGAAGACTTCAGAAGATTTGTCAAATTAACAAGTTGCGGTGCGAGCGTGGTTTTCATTGAAGGTCAGGGAACTTCCGACCTCCCTAGTCAAGGCGAGCATAAACGCATGCAAGCCAAAGTGCATGAACCAGGTTGTATGCAGTGCTAGTGATGCCGATCTACTGGATGGCCTCATAACCGGGGGCCGACCACATTGACCAGTTGAAGACGTGCCGTTCCGCCCACCCTACTTTGACCAGGCCGCTTCAATGTGGAGGAAGCTCACCCGCCTCATGTATGTAAATCATATCAACTATAGCCCAGTCTCAAGGCAATGACAATATAACCTTACTATGACAAAGTACCCATTACCACCTCACTTTGAGTATGCATGCTCATTTGCAAAGCGGCTAGACAACGTCCTGCGGCTCTCTTCATCTAAGCGTTACTTTCCAAGTACCAAAATTCGCTTTTATGACTTAGCCTTAAAGCACGTCTCGTTCCGAGTAAACCCCGTGCTCATATTCTCATTACTTTACGTCCGAATTCCGCTCTCTTCATCATTCAAGATTGCTGCATTTCGACATGGATGACGAGATTACCGTCAAGGAGATCATCGAGGCTGGTGTCGTGTTTGCCGTGACCACGGTCTTTCTGGCCCCTTACCTGTACTGGATGATTAGAGTCAAGCCACGAGAAGCTTCGCGTAAGCGAACTTGGGCGTTGATTCCCACAGCATGTCTCTTCTTGGGTGCCGGACTAATAGTCGCCGTTTTGTTCGGCAGTGCGAAAAATGCACTCCTACCAGGCGCCCTTGCCTACCCCTTCTTCATGGCCTGGAAAGGGGTCACCATGTTGTGCGTCGACATCATCGAGGTACTACCCATTCAGGCCCGCCTAGTTATCTCCCCAATATACTCATTGGTTTACAGCTTATTCAAGTTGTCGATCCCTTGATTGACGCCTATTTTTCTCACGCCGTCAATCGGGCGAGAATCATCATTTTTGGACTGGTATTGGTCTTTCACCTTCCCTTTATTGGGGCGATCGTCTGGCAATTCAGGCGACCTGACGTCGAATACTGGTGGGCTGCTCCAATGGTGTCTCACTTGACTACCGTTATTATGGTTATGGCGATATGGAGGAAGACACAGTGTTTCCGTCGTTTTGACCGGTGCTCTAACCAGCCTCAGCCAGAGCAGCCGACGGCAAACCAGGGGATGCCGTGGCTTGGAGCAGTAAGCGGATTGGTATTCTTAGCGTCATCTGTGCTCCTAGTATGTTCTGTAACTGGTTGGGTGAGACACCAGTTTGGAGGTCAGTGTGGGCTTTGTTTGGCGATTTTATTTATGCCAGCAGTACCTCTAGACAGTATGATAAGAGATCACCAGAGGAAACGGGTAGATAGAGAGATGGAGATGCAACTGTCTGTAGTGGTAAAATCTGGCACGGAACGGTCGACAGAGCACCTGGTATCATTCTGAGGGCACTCAATCAGAGCGACAGTAATTTACACCACTGTCACCCTCTGCCTACGACTACTTCCTTTAATTCGAGCATCCCAAGTTTGGGCAGCGCGCAGATGCCGCGTTCAGGTCGACGCGACCGCTCTACGTAATCTTTTGTCAGACATTTGGCTCCACACGGGTCAGAGATGGCATCAGGCAATTGATGAGAATTATCTAAAGAACAAGAAGTGAATGAACGAAAGCACGGAGTTGTGCAGCTCTTTATACACAAATGAAAGGTCCGTCGCGTGATTACGCAGTAGCGGTTGCCTAGCAGGCAACAGCGGCGTTGCGAGTAACATCGCCACTTCATGAATAATCATCCTAGGCAGGCTTGATATGCGACATCTTTCCATATTTGAAAGTGCGACGCAAAGGTGCCTCCCAAAGTATTAAAGGAACCCTTGTCCTCCGCATATATTATCTCATATATATGACCTTCAGTTCGGCGACAATCTCCTTGACCGACGTGCCCAATTAGTTCACGCAAATTCCCACCAGTCGTCTGAGAAACATGCCCCAGAGAAGGACTTCCTTTGACTCGAAGAAGGGCTTGCTCAAGAGAAGCGGCTCGCCTGGCTCCGGCCTCCACGTTATAGAAAATGTTCAGGAGTCCAGCTGTGCCCTGCCCACATGCCCGAATGAAGCATCAATTCTATCTGAAAATGGGGGGGACGACGAGTGGACTGCCGGCGACTACAGTTCTGATGAGAGTGGCGAGCCGACCATGGATTGGCAGCTGTTCCAGCGTACTGTACCCCATCCTGGGACAAGGCAGCGACAATCACTCATCACACTTATGCTGGAGAGTGAAAGAACGCACAGGCAATCTCTGACAAGCGCAGCAGCGAGGCGCCTCGGTCCAACGTTTAAAACACTCTAGCTACATGCGACCGTGGGAAGGCCACGACACCTCCATCGCCACGAGCGATTGTCGTGGCATGCTCAGTTGCTCACGGCCGAGTTGAGTGACACTCTCCGAATTGGGCTTCGTCCGGGGAAGGCAGCAAGGAACATTCGCAACCGACACCGCGATCAATCATCAGCACGTACCGGAATCGCAAGATTCGCTGAATTCAAGACAATTTCCAAAAAGTCTTACATGAAGGCAAGCGAAGTTAACGCTGGCTCGTGGAACACATATCTATTGGAGGAGGCATTTGGGACGATTACCATTCCAGGGGCTGGTGAAGACTCACAATTAGAAATCAATACGTTCATCTTGCAAGGCCCCTTCATTGTTCCTTCGAGACCTATAGACTCGTTGCCTTTTGCGCCCCTATCCAGGAGATTGCCATCTTCGCTCAGGCGCTTGAAATTCCGCACACATCCTCCGGGAGATTTGGTCATGGAACTTCTGCTCGCGTTGCCTGGTGTGTCGTGAAGACCCTCGAGGAGAATACTGACAGAATCTCATGGTGATATTGACTGAACTGCGATGAGGGAGAGTGAAATCCAGTTCAACTTTTTCGTCCTGTCCGCCATCGATGGAGCCGTGGGCCTCTACTCGATGGCAGGCACTGAACAAAGTGACCTGGAATGCAAGCCCAGGAGAACAGTTCTCCTTCCCGTCGCTACGAGAGGAAGAGTGATCAGCCTCTCGAAGATCGCTTGGTGCCAGTGTCAGCTGCGTGTCGGTTGTAGGTGACTCTGCAATCTCATCTTGCGCACGTTTGTCGCCACGGCTCGTGTCTTTATATTGGGTCACGGTCTCTAAAACCTCTGGTGTTGGCGATTCAGAACATAGAAGCCTGCCGAGAGCACGCAGTTGGCCAGTTTGTCCACATGCAATCGACTCCGTATCCGTATACTCCTGGATCGTCGAGAGGGAGTCAGTCGACATGGCAGGCAGGAGGTTCTTCGTGGGATTCTTGCCGTTCATTGGCCTTCTGAGATTGCAAGAATACGAGAATGATGGGGGACCGGAGAAACGGGGTGGACCGGTGCTTAAGTGTCTCTATCCTCCACGCGACTGCGAACGAGCTGTCTTAGTTGAGCTTTTCCGTGACTCCTAATGTAGGCTCCAGCAAATCGTCCCGTACATTCTCTGCAGTGCAACTTTGGCCACCCCATGGCATCTTTCGGCTAGCTGTCCTTTGAGCCTTATTACTCTTTCGGGACGGTAGTTCGCTGTTGCTTGGCTGATGCCTGTGAGCCACCCCTGGAATGAATGTCTACCGTAACAGTCAGCCCGAGTACTTGCCTAGGCAGGACGCCTCCAGCTTCTGCATCTACGCGCCGATAATATCCGCGGTTTCTTCACATCCATCAGCAGCCGACCTCCGAATAGGCACTAGGACGAAGAGTGACTGGGCGGACCGTCTCATCCGCATGATGCAGACCGGCCCGCAGCTCTCCTGCAGCGGGGGTCAGGGAGTGAGCGTGACGCAGGACTCTGCCTGTTGATTTCTCTTCCCTTGGCTGGCCCCAAGTGGCAATATGTATTCATATGCATGGGAAGGTCGGGAGGTGGCAAAGCTTTCAGCGTACGAAGCCTCAGGACAAGGGACGGTTGCCCTCCTCGGCATCAGCTCTGGAAGAAGAAGGTAACCTCTGTAAGACCTGCATCGGAGTGAGCAGCTCCCAGGACGTGGTACAACTCACCAACCAACTCGCCACCCCTCCTGTTGGGAAAACTTGGTACGGTGGCATAAGGTCAATTTGCTTTGCAGGCTTGGACCCGTTACATGGGCTGTTGGTGATGCTTCCGCCCGTAGCAAGGGTACAAGGAGAGCCTTCTGGTTCACACCATAGGATGGGAAATGCGAAATGTCGCGATACTTCCAAGCTCCTTTCAAGTAACTCGATTCATCAATTATGTCAACTTGCAATCGATATTTTGTCCCCATACCTCGTCTCCGAGAAACCACAAAATGTATGGACTCGGTGAAGGCGATTCGGTTCCATCACGGCGGTTCCTGGTTTCAACGATGTCCTATCTCGACGTTGCGGCCTCCTGCGCAAGGGGCAATTGACCACTTATCAACGGCGACTACTGGGAGAAGTGGGCTGGTGGATGGGAATACAACCTAGGCGTCCCAAGCTTTGCTACAGCTTCCGAATCGACAGATCGCATCATGGCCCAACTTCGCAGCTCACGGTCTAACCGTCTAAGGTCATGTCTATCCTCGCAAAGATCAGTCTTTTTGCGACATCAGTCCGCTCTGGACTTGACGACCAGCGAAAGGCAATCACGTACGGGGACCTTAAGTATGAGATTGCAAATTGGCATCAAGTCGTACCTCCTATATGCCTCAGTCTGGAAAAGCTGAACCACATGCCGGGATATGAGACTGATGAAAACGATGAGGCCATCGAAGCTCTAACGGCAGCAGCATGCGTACAGTGTTATGGTCCAGCATGCACCATCTATCTCGAAAGAATTACCACAAAAAGGATTGGAAGCGCTGCCTTTAACACTGAAGTAAAGACCGCTGCCGATCGAATCATCACATTGATGGGCCGCTTTACGACGGGTATCGACCAACTGGCAACGTTGTGGCCACTCCTCACTGTACGCATTGCTACCGTCGACCCATACCAGCAAAATGCCTTGCGTCAGCGGCTGGTTGGAATGGAATGCTTCGGATTAACGGTAAGGACGATTTACCTTACGCTGTGGCCTTTGCTTACCGAATGTCCAGTATGTAAGCCGTGTCCTAGAGGCACTACAGTATTCGTGGAGTGATGGGGCATGTTATGCGGAGCTTGAGCCGATGCTGTTATCGAACCTTGTTCCTTGAATGCACGGTAACTGTAAATAAAGGCAGCAGGGGGCATTTACAGGTTACGACGGATTGAACTATCAGCACACATCGCATGAATCGCCAATACAAGGCAGTTCCCCGACAAGTCTTGTATGAAGACGACCGAGGATGTTGATACTAGCTTGTGGAATCAATGTTTCATGGAGGAGGCATCAAGGGACCACCCCCATTCTAAGGCTGGTAAAGATACTCAAATTCAACACTCTTCCACGGCCGGTCGCCTGCTCCTTCGAAATTTCTGAGCGCGCTGCCTCTTGTGCCTTTGCCTAGGAGCTTGCCATCTTTGCTCAGGCGATCGAAGCCATGCATCCTTCCTCCCGGTGATTTCATCATGGCTCCTCCGCTCGCGCTGTCTGGTGCATCGTGACGAGCCTGGAGGAGAACACTGGGAGAACCTCAAGGTGATTTGAACAGGCTTGCGAAGAGGGAAGCCGAACTTCAGTTCAATTTGTTCGTCTTGTCCGCTATCGATGGATCCGTTGGCCTCTACTCGATGGCAAGTGTCGGATACGGCGACCTGAAATACAAGTCCAGGAGGACGATTCTCCTTCCCGTCGCTGCAGGAGGAAGAGTCATGAAGATGGCTAGGTGCGAGCACCGGATGTGCCTCTGCTGTAGGTGACTCTGCAATCTCGCCTTGCGCCTGTTCATCGCGACGTCCTGCGCCGTTGTATTGAGTTTCGGTGTCCCAAATCTCCGAGGTTGGCGAGGCAGGACGTAGAAGCCTATCAAGGGCACGGAGATGACCAGTTTGTCCACAGGAAACCGACTTAGTGTCAAGGGGACTCTCATCCTCCTGAGTCGTCGAGGCAGAGTCAGTCGACATGGCGGGCAGAAGGGCCTTCGTTAGATCGTCCGCCGCTCGTTGGCCCTAGGAGAGGTGCAATAACAAGAAGAGTGATAGAGAAGAAGAATATCTGCTTTCCGCACGAGTGTGGAATGGGCTTCCCGGGTCGAGCTTGTCTGTAACCCCTGATGCAAGCTCCAGCAAATTATCCCGCAAGTCCTCCGCAATGTGACCTTGGCCACTTCGTGCCAGCTTTCAGCCGGGTTGGCTCATGCACCTTCCTCATGTTTCGGGGTTGTGGTCCGCTGTTGCTTGGCTGATGCCTGTGAGCCACCCTTTGGGGGGACGTCTACCAGTCAGCCTAAGTCTTCAACCATCCCTTGCATCAAATGGTCCGTGTATCCCTGACCAGGACACCTCCAGCTTCTGCATCTACGCGTCGATCACATCCCAAATCCACCAGCAGCCAACTTCCAAATAGGCACCGGGACGAATCTCTAGAGTCTAGGGTGACTGGGCGGACCGCCTCTTCCGAACCATGCATGCAGACTGGCCCTTAGCTCTCCTGCAGTGGGAGTCAGGGGGTGAGCGTGACGCAGGATTCTGCCTGTTGATTTCTCTTCCCTCGTCCTGGCATGGGAAGTGCTGGGTGGCGAAGCTCGCAGGGATGGAAGCCTCGTGACAAGGGAAGGGCTGCCCACGTCGGCATCCACCTCGGAAGAAGAAGGTAGCCTCTGTGAGACCTGCGTCCGCGGCTGCCGAGGTACGGATGTTCTGCAATACTGGTTGGATATGACAGTTATGAAATATTGGCAAACAGGCAGGGGCTCTAAAGCGAGCGGCTCCCAAGACTCGGTCCAGCTAACCAACCGACTCATCACGTTTACCCAGGGGGGAGTGTTCCATTTCCCACCAACACGGGGCAAATGTGACCCGTAAAATGCAAATCAGACTGTCCTTTGTCCCAGCCCCTGGGAAGACTGCAAGGGCTACGCCATGACCAGCACGCGGCCAGGCAAAGAAGGTGTGAAGCTGCTGTAGCTATCTTACTTGTTCTTTCCCCAAGTACCTCCCTTGCCAGAGATCTAACAAGTTTTGTCCATTTCCTCGTTTTTCCTTTTGCCAACCCCCATTCTTTCGCGACACCCAGCATTGGGCCGATACTCTACTTACGGGACTATTCGCCTGATTTTTATTTTTATTTTACTTTCCTCCTTCACTGGCCAAAAAGAGTCTATAGACAAGTCTACAAGCTAAATGTCAGCCCCCGCAGTAAGTGACATAAACCCAGGTGATGCCATCGACAGGAATGGCCATTTCTAACACGAAACTCCGTCTCTCTTCTCTGCTCTAGCAGAAGAACAGCTTAGTCCGAATTCGAGACAACCAAAGGAGATCGCGCGCCCGACGGAGAGAGTATGTCCAGGAGCTCGAACAGCGACTGAGGGTATGCGAGCTCCAGGGCATCGAGGCTTCGACCGAGATCCAGATGGCCGCAAGGACAGTTGCCGAGGAGAACAAGAAGCTACGGGAGTTTCTCAACAAGCATGGCTTTAGTGACGGCCATGTTGCCCATTTCTTGCAGTCGGGCACTTTCGTGCCACTTGATGCCGACCAAGACCATCCTTTTCCCGCCGGCGACCCTGGGGCCGCCGTCCAGTCGCTGGAACAGCTCCTGGTGCCGCGTCGACTAGCCATTCTAGATCAAGACTTCTACCTCTCTTTGCCGAGACAGTCATGTCGGGATCCCTCCACTGCCAGCGGGTCGACGACAAGGTCGTCCATCTTGGAGTCGTCGCAGCTTACGACGTCCTCCTACGGCTATCAACATCACATGGCCATGGCTACCGCAGTCAGGGGCTTGGAGGTTCAATCCAAATACCCACTAATAACCCCGTTAAGTCGTGCGAGCACCACGCGACAAGGCAGTGTTCATTGTGAGCATCCGTCTCCGTCGATGCTGGACAGTCCCGGCCAACCCATGGCCACAACACAGGCTATGTTTATGGGCGACCGTTCGGCAATTCACTTGCAACGCTCTCTACCGACATATACATATTCAGACTCGACGATACCACATTACGGTCCTCCAGGGAGCACCTCCGACGGTTGATTCCCATGCTCGTCCAGCGGTGACAGCAGAAATGTACATGTTGATGGTGGGAATTGCCTGTAAATACAAACATTCCCTTCAAAGCTGTCACCTGTTCTATGACTGTATTTCATAGAAGCCCAGAGATCAAGGTGGTAGTCATTGGCTCCACAAGCCTGTAGTTGATCAGAAACTGCAAATCCGTTATCGTAGCGAACGTCAGCCGAGTGCGCGTAAGCGAACATGATATGGCGAGGCATTCAAGCGTACAGGGCCCAGATCTGTCTTGCAACCCGCAGTCTCAGTGGTTACGCGAACGTAAGACTCCGACCATTGCCTGTTGGTTCCGCTGCTGCCTTGAGAGGTCCAGCTGCCTGGTCCAGAGGGAAGAGCTACTTCAGGAGCCATAGTCTTTCTAGGGGTGATATACGAAGGTGAATTTTTTGAAGATTTTGAATGAAGGATGAATCAAATGAATTGAATTTTTGGGATCTCGATTCAAAATCTTCAAGCTCCAATTTTCGCGATTCAAGTTGGGTTTGGGCCAATTCAGGCCATTCATGAATGGTTTGAAGGGATCCCCTAAACGAAGTGAATTTGGTGTGTACCTAAGCGATTGCAAAAATACCTCAAAACTCCAATAAGTAGTATATAGTTTTATAGCCCTCTGAGAAGTGTCTTGATAATCCCGAATACCACAAAAATTAACTTACATAAATACTGATCCGCATGTCCTAGGCAAATCGCTGAAAATATGCACTTTCAAAAGCTCTGCCGAATCCTCAAAATGCGTCGGTACAACGCGTTCGAATCGCCATTGTGCACGGTTACACACTCGTAGAGCCTCAATCCTCCGAAGCCTCCATTGTACCTAGACAAGGGGTTGATATCGCAGACTTATTGGCTTGGGAAGCAAGAGGTTTGGGGGTGGGAGGTTCGGTGGGAGCCTCGGTAGGACCCTCGGTGGGAACTTCCGCCGGAGCAGGGGGTTTAGGAGGAGGATTCTCGCCTGAACGCAGATTAGCATTATACACAAACAATGAGGGTATATTCATACCATTTACCAGCATTCCCGGAATGTGGTCTGGTCTCCAAATAATACTATTAGCGAAGGGCAAGATGTCATACTCCATGGCCGCCTTGATCAACGCCTGATCGATCTTATCTTCCTGAGTATAAGCACTCCGTAGAAGTGTTAGTACTCGCGCTGTATCTGCCTTCAAAGCGTGACGGCGGATACCGAATTCGTCTCTACAACCACTGAAGAGGCGTTCCACGTCAACTTCAGAGCCAGGGACAGAGAGGAGATCACGCGCCGCCGCAGCCAAAGTGGCCACTCCTCCTTGTGTTCTTTCCACCACTTCCGTAAGAAGTCTGGAGACTTTGCAATAGACTCGTCGAACTCTATTCGGGAAGTTGCAAACCACCGTTCAAGCTCCGAAATAGGGATCGCCGCGCCCGCCTCCGCCTCCTTCGCCTTCTTCATTTGGATGGCTCTCCACTGCGCAATGGAGACTCCTTGAGGACGCTCAGCTGGTCTGGATTGGCTCATAGATGAGTTTGTGGCATCCAATGTTGCTAGCTCCGGCCACTCCGTTCTGAAATACTTCTTGACTTTAGCCATAATCTCAGAGTATTGATCCGGTATCATCATTTCTAGTTGGTGAGCTTTATACCGCGGATCCAGGATGTGAGCTGCGAATAGCATCATTTGATCGTCAAGCTTCTTCATATATGTAACGTGTTTTGCTTTGCCCTTCGAGAAGGCGTTTCGAATGGACATATCAAGGTCTGAAAAGTCGCCAACCCTTCGACTACATCATCAAGAGAGCTTCCAAATCCCAATAGATATCGAGACTTTGTGAGATCTGCGGCATAGCTTCGGAGACTTTCAGAGTGTGGTCTTTAAACGGCTTCAGAACCTTCCGTAGTTGATAGAGCGCGACAATCTCTTCCGATAAGGGCAGGAGGCACTTGACTTGCTGGTGAGTATCAACGAACTCGGTATATTCTGCCTCAAGCTCCAGGAATTGGTCAATCATGTCGTAGGTCGAATTCCAACGAGTGTCGACATCGTAGGTTGGCTTCCGATGGTGCGTGCGGGCATGCTTTTGAAGTCTTGCTCCTAGGCCCGGATCTCAGCATCCAGAGATTGAGGAGGCGGATTTTGGCAATCCCACTTCGACTAGAGTCTCCCGGAACGGTGTAGTTGTTGCTTTTATTCTCTTCGTCCCACTTATCCAGCATCTTCTTGGCTTCCTTCGCTGTGCCTGCCTTGAGATCTTGCAGGACGCCCTCGCAAATGAGTGAGGTAATGTGAGCTAGACAGCGGATCCAACTCTTCCTGCCGTGAAAGCGCATGCGGGGCCTCCCTATTGGGCTCACCTTGTCGTCGAACTTGATCTTGAGAGAATCGTACAGAGACTGACAGAGCGTGCCGTTGTTGGCGGCGTTGTCTCCCGTAATGGCGAGAAGCTTGGGCTTGAGCCTGAGCTCCTCAAGTGTCTTCTCAACTATCTCAGCTAGTTGTTTGCCAGTGTGCGATCCTTTGAGCTCGATAAACTCAATAACCTCTTCTCTCTCCTCAAACTCCGGCGTAATCCAGTGCGCAATAATGGCGAAAATAGGCACCCGATTCGGTGCTGTCCAGATATCAAGGGTGAGCGAGATGGTAGCACAATTGTACTCAAGCTCAATCTTCAGCTTCTCTCTGCGTTCGACAAAGTCTGTGTAGATATGATTGCGTAAAGTTATACGACTCCTGTACACACAGGTTGTATTGTGAGCCAAGAACATCTCTTGGAAAGCAGGGGTCTCAACAACAGAGAAGGGTTGTCGGTGTTTTACAAACCACTGGCGGATAGACTCCTTTGCCGTGAGCCTTGCTCTTTGCCGGGGTCGACCGCTCCATGCATCTGCCTCTGTATAATCTCCTCCGCCAATGGCGCGGCCGTATCCATTGATTCGAGCGTGGTGAGACTCCTTCGTAATATTGTGGGATTTTAAATGGTCTCCCATGCCAGAGGTAACCCCTCGGCGGTTCGATTCAAGGACCTGGAATATCTTCCGAAGAGTAGAAGGATTTTGAAGGCACTCTATACAAGTCCACCGGAACTCTTGGAATATCTTCGGTCCATACTTGTACTCCGAGTAAAAGCTCCTGTCAATGGCTTCCCTCTGCATGTACCAATAAACGTGGCTGTTCTTGTCTCTCTTCTTGCGAACATGCTTCTGTTTGTTGTCGGCCCACTTCTTGATAAGTCCGGCTTTCTCTGCGAGCGTCATATGACTACCGGTACTGTTCAATGGCGGCTCTGGTGTATCCGCGTCGGGCATGTCATCATCTGACTCACAGTCAGGATGGCCCGGAGGGGCGCAGACAATTGTATCTTCGCCAGTCGGAAGAGGGGACGAAGGAGCCGGAGCTGTGCTAGGATCAGGGCGCGCGCGCGGATTCTGAGGTTGAATTGAGGACGTTCGATGCGGGCATAGTTCTGCGTTGGCAATTTACGCCGGGTCCTAGGAGCAAAGAAACTTGCTGCGGCAGATGTTTTCGATTCAGCAAGGGCCATACTATGTATCATGTTATAATTAGCTATTCACTCGTAAAGTGATTAAATAAGAGGGGGAGGTTGGAGGGTCATGAAGTTTTACCCGGTCTTGGCTAAAGGGCTCGAGAATACCAAATAAACCACAATAGAGTATAAAGGAGTCGAGGTTGAACGGGTAGGATAGGTCGTCGGGCAGGGCGTTGATTCGGGGGTCGACCCGAAGCCGCTGTCGGAAATATCGAAGCAGGAATTAGGCGAGATCGTCGTAAAATAATGTCGTGGAAGTTGTCGCGAAGACCGTTGCTCAATGCAGGCAAAAAAAGGTGGGATGGGCTGGCCGTGTCTTTCCGACAGCAGTAGGATTAACAGGTGGTCAATTGAGCGCGAATAACGCGTCTAAACCCAGCTGGTTGGCACAATATATCCTTATCATGCAGATGTTTCGGTACTTTCTCATCGGGCTAGCTTGTGTGGACAAACAAGTAGCAGTCATATTGGGCTCGAGGAGTAGATAAGTCCCTAGCAGCCTCTTAATCGCGAGATGACGCAATTCGTGTCACCTCCAATTGTTCGCGCAGTATTGAGATGTTGAGGGATCTGAACGCGTTTTTCGAATTAGCTTGCCGGAGGCTGTTTAGCGGTATAAGTCCTGTATTGTGGGTAGGCACCTGCGGCAGCTGCTGCAATGAGACGGTACTAGGGTTAACCTGTGATGTTGTATTCGTCTTGTTCTCTATCTAAGGAGGCAGAGGCCAGCGTGGAGAAAGGGGGCACGCTGCCCTCAGCCGCACACGTGACCGTACGGGTCACGTGCCAACCATGGTTGGTCACACCACTAGATAGATACATTCCTACACAGGCAACTCTTCTTTTGCTGAGAAGCACAGCAACACCTTGAACAGGTCTAAAGGATAGTAGCGTTAAGGCCGTGAAGGAATGTGCCGTGAGGGCGTGTGTCATTATTGCGAAAAAGTGGGTCCGACGTCTTGTTCTTAGCTGTAGATATCGGGAAGAAGTGAAGGGTCTTCCTGATAGGAGCAATCATTTGATCATAGGGATAAGGAGCGGTTAGGAACGTTGTACGTATCCTTCGACTCGAATTGTCAGACTATTGGTATCGATGAAGCGTTCCAGGGCTCGGTTTGGTGATGCTTTCGTCATTGCATCTGCTGGGTTGTCTGCGCCGTTGATCCAACGAATATCTGTTATCTCTCTCTTCTCGTATGACTGGCGAAGGGCCATGATATCAATCATCAATCGTTTTCCTTCGTCGTACCGAGCTTGACTAGGCATTCGTAGAGAGTACGAATCCGTACAGACGATGAGAGGATAGGAGGAAGGTTGAGTCGTTCCGTAATTATCTTCATAGTCATCGCAAGGGAGATGCCTATGTCGAATCCGTTGGCCATACCGTAGATCTCTGATGCTAGGACGCTACGGGTAACACGTTTGCACTTTGTTGAACTCCAGTGTACGATGTTACCACTAATCTCGAACTGTTTTTCTTTGTGGTTTGTCTCGTTAACGAGGGCAATGACGAATCCTAGTTGGGAGGATAAGTCCTTGTTGTTTGCGAAAGAACCATCGGTGAAAACCATCAGCTTTGCAGTAGCTAGATCAATTGGTTTGTACGTGAGGCCACGTAGTTGGTGATCCATTTGCCATTGCAGTCGCTTGTTCAAAATTGCGTAATCTTTATCCTCAGGGGTCTGTACTTGGGCGGCGACTGAAACATCGAAAGAAGCTTCCGGTTGAGCAATTGAAGCAATGTATGAGGCTCGCGCTCGTTCCTCAACGTAGCGCTGGTGACGATCAATTGCTTTAGGGTCAATGGTGGTCATTTTGCTGCTTGTCCCTTCTGTTGAAGTAAAGGGATCCTTTCTTAAGGGGTTATTATTCAGCAACGTCAGTCTTGCACCATTAAAGTCAACCGTTGTTCCGTATGTGATGTCAGTCTTGGGCTTGGAACGAAATTCTGCCTTTGTAGCTCTTCTTCTTCACGGGTAGAAAAGTTGTTCGTTCCAAGGATGAGGGTGTCATCAGTTTGCATTCCAACAATACCGAGCGTGTCAGGGCCAGTATTCGAAATCAGTAGGCAGGAGTCATAGGTGGAGGTAGACATATCCAGCTTTTCGAGGTGATGCTGCTGATATGTGCGGAACCAATGGACTCCGGCTTCTGCGATACCGTACAGGGCTTAATAACACGAATAATTGTTCCGTTAGGGTATTTGCCTTGTAGTTCCGTGGGCAAATACGTAAGAATGGTCCGGAAAGCTTGGTCTGGGATTGCGGGTATGCCTGAGTGATATCACGGAGGAGAGGGTTATGCCGTAGTTTTGAAGAAGTCCGGGGCAATAGCGAGGATGAGTCTCTGGCTAACGCGTTGAATTGTCGGAGATTGCGTCAGGAGGGTGGTCTTCTCAAAGTCGTTATGTCCTTGAATAACAAGTCGAGACTTTTCGTAGGGCTTAGTGTTGATTCCTTTGACTTCACGAACCATTCGAGAGCGAAAGATTCTATAGTTTCCATGACTCATTTGATCGTATCGTTCAAATTGGAATACACCGCGGCCAACGAGGTCAGTAATCTCTTTGTTATCGGATTCTTCGAAGGGTCACCAGGAGAGGTGATTATGCCATCAGACCGTAGCTTGAGGGAAAGAGCTTGTGCATCTTCCTCCTTTTGGGTCAAGAAGCTCTGGTCTACGGCAGGCCATCATGATCAAATCCTTTGGCTTGTTCTTTGATCCTGGTGGGCGTCCTCTCTGCGGGGGCGGGGTTCGGGTCGGGCAGGCAGGTCCGTTAGGGTCTTAACGGGGTCTTGAGCCGGTTGTTCATTAAGATCTGAACGAATGCCTGAGGGTCTGTGTCGTGTGTAGGGTCGGAAAGAGTGGTATCATCACGCAGATACGGTTGTACAAGGGTCGATCGAAAGACTTGGGGCCGTTGACTGTGTCAATGGTGATGTTATGGGTATCAATCGATGCAATCTTGAAGGGTCCTTGCCAACCGTCTTTCTCTCTCAAACGCGAACTTCACTTTGCAGCGGGAGGATAGCACTTCTGTCGTGCTCGGGCCGTTGCGTGCATGGAGGGCATCCTTAACTCGTCTTTCTGCCGAGAGTTGGCGGAGCATTTTCATCGCTTTCTGCATAGCTTCCGATCTTTTGAGGGTAGAAGCGGAAGGGGCGAGTCTGTAGATACGCGAGGGTATGCGCCGAAAACAAGCAACGTAGGCACAAGACCGTCAGGTCCTGCCGTATCATTGATTGCTTTAACAGCCATTTGAAGGACTGTTTCGGCGGAAGTGGTGTGGCCAATCTCAGCATGGAGGATGTTAAAGGCGCGTCGGAGGGTGCGTGATAGCGTTCAATCTTTCCAATGGACCAATGCGTCTCAACAGGTACTTGAGAGCATTTGATTCCCATAATCTTTGCTTCGTTCCGGAATTCGAGAGAAGCAAAGTTAGTTCCTGCATCATGACGGAGGGTATCAGGAGGTCCAAGATACGTGTCGATCCAGAGGGTCCGGAGGGTCTCCCATGTATCTTTAGCTGACATTGACGGTAAAAATCTGGCTCCTTGGAAAGCAGTAGCTGAGTCCACAACGTGTAGAACAGGGCGTTGTGGTGTTCCTAGGTGCATCACATCAACGATGATTTCGTAGTTGAACTCTTGATCATCGTTAAGGGTGAACTTGAAGCGGCGTGGGGCTTGTGAGTGCATTTGACAGTGGTGACAGAACTTAGAGATAGTCTCTAATGTGTCTATCGAGACGTCACTGTGCCCGGCTTGCTTCAAGAGGTGATGGAGCCTAGGGACTGCTGGGTGTCCAAAGCGTCGGTGAAGTGTACGAATCTCTGTTTCCGTAAGAAACGAGATGGACTCTTCATCTTTCGTAAGGAAGAACCAGGGATGTCCCCATTTGCGTACGACTGGAATGCTTGTAGGGCGATTAGTACAATGATTAGTACAATTGATGGTATCTGTGATGTTGTTGAAATAGATACCAAGCCGGTCCATATCAGCAAGGCAGAGCAAAAGGAGTTGGGGTTTGAAGGACGTGGAACGTGATCCTTCCGAGGGGTGTGTTAAGGGCGACTGTGCCGAGGAGTGGATGGCGTCGCTGTTGCCGAATTTGATGGAGGCCTGGCCGGATGTGGAGCTGTCGAGAGCTACAGAAGGGTCTTCTCGTTGTAGGGCGATGTACTGAGAGTATCCTGCTGTGGAAAATGTTGCTGCACCT